TTTAGAGGGAGTATAGCTCTGTCCAAAACATGCAGAGGAACCATCTACCCACAGCACCCGTTGTCTTCCCAAGATCCAGATTCATTTTATTCATCTTCCTCTAAGCATGCAGGTGATAAAAAGGTAAAGGTACCCCTGCCCGTGCGGGCCAGTCTTGACAGACTCTGGGGTTGTGCGCCCATCTCACTCAAGAGGCCGGGGGCCAGCGCTGTCCGGAGACACTTTCCGGGTCACGTGGCCAGCGTGACAAAGCTGCATCTGGCGAGCCAGCGCAGCACACGGAACGCCATTTACCTTCCCGCTGGTAAGCGGTCCCTATTTATCTACTTGCACCCGGGGGTGCTTTCGAACTGCTAGGTTGGCAGGCGCTGGGACCGAGCAGCGGGAGCGCACCCCGCCGCGGGGATTCGAACCGCCGACCTTTCGATCGGCAAGCCCTAGGTGCTGAGGCTTTTACCCACAGCACCACCCGCGTCCCATGCAGGTGATAGGGATGGGTTAAAGGTAAAGGTACCCCTGCCCGTACGGGCCAGTCTTGACCCAAGAGGCCGGGGGCCAGCGCTGTCCGCAGACACTTCCGGGTCACGTGGCCAGCGTGACGAAGCTGCTCTGGCGAGCCAGACCCGCACACGGAAACGCCGTTTACCTTCCCGCTATAAAGCGGTCCCTATTTATCTACTTGCACCCGGGGGTGCTTTCGAACTGCTAGGTTGGCAGGCGCTGGGACCGAGCAACGGGAGCGCATCCCGCCGCGGGGATTCGAACCGCCGACCTTTCGATCGGCAAGTCCTAGGCGCTGTGAGTAAAACCTCAGCGCCACCCACGTCCCTAATGGGTTAGCATGACTTAATTCTGCCAGAGTGAAGCACCAACTGCAAATTAGTTTCAGAGAGGCTTCAGTAGTGCTGAGATTGTGTTGTATGGTACACAGTGCCAAAGAGTTCCTTTCTCAGGTTGAATCAGAAAACATTTCTCCCAGATCTGTCTCTCACTCTGCAGACCTTGGAAATCACCAACAGTCATATTCAATAGCATCTGGCACAATTCTGAGATAATTTTTCTAAATTAACTAACCAGGTGGTCCCAAAAGCAGCCCCTTTAGCTCTCCTTTCTATATTTTCACTTGCCCCAACCTTGTCCATAAAAAACTTGGTGTTGTGAATTTGTGGATCCAGCAGGTATTCAATTGCTGCATTAGCCAGTCAAGGACCATAATGGCCTTCAAAGTGTGGGTCATTAAGGTAACAAAGGAAGTGGCTCTGTACCAGAGAATAACCGTCTGCTAGTTAGAAAAACAAAAGCAGGGTTGTGTGTGAAGGCCAGAAGCAGGCTGGGCAGAACTGCAGGCTGTAGGCTGGGCAGCAGGGAAACAGAGTCATGCCTGATTCTTGCTGGGATCCAAGGCTGTGGCTGTGGGAGAAGCAAGACCCTCTTGGGGTATTATGCGAGCCCCTCAATTGTAGACCCAGGTGGTCTAGATGAGTAAATAAGCTAGATGGTATATTTGAATAAATAAACCATATACAGTGGTGCCTCGCAAGACGAAAAGAATCCATTCCGTGATTCTCTTCGTCTAGCGGTTTTTTCGTCTTGCGAAGCAACCCCATTAGCGGCTAAGCGGATTAGCGCTATTAGCGGTTTAGCGGCTTAGCGGCTATTAAAGGATTAGTGGCTAAGCTGCTAAAAGGCTATTAGCGGTTTTGAAAAAGGGGGGGAAGCGGGGGGGAGGAGGAATGGCAAGACTCGCAAGACATTTTCGTCTTGCGAAGCAAGCCCATAGGGAAATTTGTCTTGCGAAGCGCCTCCAAAACGGAAAACCCTTTCGTCTAGCGGGTTTTCCGTCTTGCGAGGCATTCGTCTTGCGGGGCACCACTGTATCATTAACTCACATAACCCATATAGCGGTACCTCAGGTTACAGACGCTTCAGGTTACAGATGCTTCAGGTTACAGACTCCGCTAACCCAGAAATAGTACCTTGGGGTAAGAACTTTGCTTCAGGATAAGAACAGAAATCGTGCTCCGGCGGCGCAGCAACAGCAGGAGGCCCCATTAGCTAAAGTGGAGCTTCAGGTTAAGAACAGTTTCAGGTTAAGAACGGACCTCCGGAACAAATTAAATACTTAACCAGAGGTACCACTGTATATCATACAGCAAACTCAATCCAAGGAAACCAAACTCAGGGTAAGTTCCTGGAACCCCTGGGAACTTGCAGGACTCTGAGATCTCAACACACGGTCCCTCATCTAGTCTGAAACTTCACCAGAGCCTGCTTAGCTTTGCAAATGTGCCAGCAGTTTTCTTGCTGCACCACTAGGGGTTGTAGGCAGATTAGCAAAAGCTAGAGGCTGGGAAATGTCCTCTGTTTTTTTTTAGTTGCAAGTTGGTTTAAGCATGTTTTGTGTCTTGCTCTCATGGAAATATTAGCACATGATATGTGGAAAGCAAGGAGCCAGGCTATATTTGACATGGTGTGGTTTCCGTTTCTAACTTTCATAAATACTTCTTGAGAGTTCATCACCTCTCAGCTACCCACGCTGGGTTTTGGAGGGGCTGTATTATCGCTAACCTGATTTCAAGGGATACCACTTCTTTCCAGTCAAATACTGGAATAATGACGCACGAGAGACCAGTCACAGTTTGCTTTGTTGCTGTTCTTTATTGTACTGCAGTTTGCAAAATGGTTTTTTGTTTTTGTTTGTTTTTTACTGAAGCGTTTTATTGTTAGTCTCCAGGGGTATTTATGCTGTCTTTGAGCCCATTGGTCACATTTGCATGTCATTTGTTCTCTCTCCGCCATATATGATCACAGACAGATATGATCTGGTGTTGTGACTTTGATTAGTGCATTTAATAAAATCAGTCCAAACAGCAAAAAATACATCCTTTGTCTATTTGCCAAGCATAGCTAAAATGGGAAGGCCCATCTATAGTAGGTCCTTTCCTTCTAAACATATTGCACTTTCTCAAGAGTTTCTGGGATTTTGTACATTATATGTAATGTTCCTTAATGAGCGAGGCCACTGCCAGATCTCCTTTTATGGAATCCTAGAATTTCATAGAATCATGTAGTTAGAAGGGACCCCCAAGGGTCATCGAGTCCACCTCCTGCAGTGCGGGAATCTCAATCCATTTTTGTGAATCTCACAAAACACGTAATGGCACAGGGTTTGGGGCGCACATTCTTTGGCCTGGCAGGTAGTGCTCAATGTGCCCACTCAAAATCATATTCAGTGAAGTCCATCTTAGGGTGGAGAGGTTTGAACATGAAACTTAAATTCCCTTCCTTCTCCCCTCCTGCATCTTCCAAAGGCACAGGTTAGCCTCCCCTAACAACCCCACTTATTATGGGCTCTCCTTTGGGGGCTCCTTCGTTCAGTTGTTTGCATTTGTTTCTAGATTATAAATTATGGTTTTGTTTTTGTTTGAAGTAAATCCCAGTAGCTTCTTTACATGTTATGGGGTGTTTGTTCATAGTGATTAATATCATTATTATAAGCATTAGACACTGTATAGTAAATTGAGTAGATTAGACAACTGGAGTTTACCGCAAAAGCACAAGGTTGACGTATGATGTGTTTGTTAAACTGTAACATGCAAATCAGGGCTGAGAGGCAGGTGCAGATGTTTTTGGCACTTACCTACCAAAATAAACTGTTCTTGCAAGAGATCTGTTCAACGTGAGTGGTTTGGGGGCAGAGGGGCCCCTAATGCTGCGCATTTCTTTTGTGATTTGGGGTTAGGGGAGTATTGTGACCAGATAACTGCCTATAGGTTCTCTTCAGTGTACCTAGAGAGTTGAAGAATATTTTTACAAGAGAATGGAAAATCTCAGGATGCCAGGATACTTAAATTCCCACTTTGGGTGGATACACGGCCTGCCTTTGAGCAGGGCTAGGCAACCTAAGGCCTGGGGGCCAGATGCGGCCCAATTGCCTTCTAAATCCGGCCCATGGACAGTCTGGGAATCAGCATGTTTTTACAGGAGTAGAATGTGTCCTTTTATTTAAAATGCATCTCTGGGTTATTTGTGGGGCATAGGAATTCGTTCATCCCCCCCCCCAAAAAAAATATAGTCTGGCCCCCCACATGGTCTGAGGGACAGTGGACCGGCCCACGACTGCAAAAGGTTGCTGACCCCTGCCTTAGAGTAAGAGCAGAAGCTCTCGTTAGGCTATTTCAACTGCAAACGGCTTTGCTCTGTCATCTATGCTGCTGAGCTCCTCCCACTTTTTAAAATTTCAAGCTGAGTCATCTCTGTCTGTTTCTCCAGGTTGTGGTGTTTTAGAGACCAAATATGCCCCCCCCGCCCCGTTGTAAAACTTCGCCTTTGAAGCTGTTATGAGGTGGAAGCGCCCCCAGCAACCAGCACTGCAGGACATCTTTGAAATGCTTTTTCAAAAGCACCCACATCTCCTTAAACAGACCTACTGTTTTGCCCAGGAGGCTTATCTTGTGCTTTCAGCTTAAGAAACCTCTTAGACAAGCAGATTTGTTATTTGCCCTGGTGAAAGATACACACACACACACACACACACACACACAGAGAGAGAGAGAGAGTTTGTGTGTTGTAATGTGGCAAAGAATCGGTGGTTACGAAACTTCCCTATGCAACCTCCTCCATACGTCACCCTTAGTGGGCTGCTTCCCCCTCCCCGTTATTGGCTCCGGTTACAAGAGAAGGGGGGGGGGACTCTTGAGAATTCAGTGAAGCTTTTACTATGGCAGGTGGAACATGCATGCGGAATGAGATTCTCAGGTTTTTTTTTACAATGGGGATGAGAAAAAGTTTTGCACAACCTTCCGGTTTAAAGGGCCCCTTAATATGTAAAGGACAGCAATGAGAAGTTCAGCTTTAAAAAAAAAAAAGCCTGGAGAAATTATTAACCACAATTTATGACGTCAGAGTTGATCTGATTAAAGGTTTGTTTTCTTGCTGGCAGAGGTGTGTTCTGTAGAGACTGGTTCTCTCTTCTTTGTTTTTTGTTTTGTTTTTTTAAGTTTCATTTTTGAACAGCAAACGGAGAAGCTGCTGCTCCAGCTGCGTGTGTGTGTGTTGTAGAAAGGATGGTGTTTCTCTAGCTGCCACGCACAAAACAACACATTTGACCATGAGGACTCTTCGCAGGTTGAAGTTCATGAGTTCGCCCAGCCTCAGTGACCTGGGCAAGAGAGAGCCGGCATCCTTGGATGAGCGGGGGACCCAGCAGCGACGGGCCTGCTCCAACGCCACCTGGAACAGGTACGGTCTTGCATATCCCCCACGCACACAGGCAGGCAGGCACCAGGAATTTTTCCCACAACAGCCAACGCAGCTAACACTGCAAACAATCACTTCTGGCTCAGATTTTACAAGGCACAACACAGTTTGAATTCTTGGTCTGATTTTCATATGAGAGGAAACTTCCAGGTTTTTCATGCTTCTAGCCCTTCTGTTAGTGCTGACATACATAGCTCATACTCATTTCATTCTCACTGGCAGTGACTGTTAAGATCTAGGGAACCCTTCTTCTTCTGCTGGCTATTATGTCTCCTGGTTGCTTTGCTTGTTGAGAAAGGAGGTGTAGTTTCTCCTTTCCCAGGGGAGGGCGGTTTGTTTATGGAACAGGAAAAACTGCATGTGTCTTGATGATTTGGGGGACGGGGGGGGGGGAGAGAGAAACACTTGAAGTGGGTTGTTAAATATATTTGTAGCTAGAAATAAATCACGGGGAGAGAGATTTACTGAAGGAATCTCTGCCATTAAAAAAAAAATACAAATAAAAAATGCCAGAGTTCCCTATATTATCACTAAGGTTTAACCATTATTGATGTTGGCATTCGAAGAAGAAAAAAGAGAGAAGCAGACCAAGTTACGACTATAATCTTAATCTGGGCCTTACTAAATGTTATATGCACATGTGTGAAATGAAACCTCAAAAGACTTTAAAAAATATTTTTGACTAGAAACACTGGGGTGGGGGTGGTGTTCAGTTGAAAGCAGAGGAGTGGTGGTCTGGGAAAGGAAGGAGGAACTCTAAATTGTCGCCCCCCTCGAAAAGGCCTTCTCATTTTTAGCCACTCTCCTGGGCTCTAAATTCAGGGGCGAAGGGCCTCCAATGGTTGGTGGGGCAGGCTTGTGTGGAATAATGCAGTCCCTTGGGAACCCAAATCCCAGGATGTTTAGGATTTTGAAGGCCAAAAACAGCACCTTTAATTGAGCCTGGAGGAAGAGGAGCATGAATTTACTCATCCTCTTTATGCAAGTCTCTCAAGGTCATGCGCAATAAAAATCAGCAGATTTTTTTTAAAAAAAAAAATAGACAGCGATGGCAGAGACCCATTGATCCAGGTGGCAAACGACATCATGAAAAAAATGTATCAAACCGTTTCTAGAAAGTGCAAGTAGTGGTCACTTGTCAGATCTCGACAGGAATGCTGTTCCACAGAACAGGTAGCCATGCCGAAAGCCCTGTTTTGAGTTGCCATGGATCTTTTGGAACTTGTAGGAGCAGCTCTTCTGCAGTGACCTGCTGGATATATAATGGATAACACAGTCTCTAAATTAACCTGATCCTGAGCTGTATTGGGCCTTATATGTTAGTACCAGCACCTTTATCTTAGTCTGGTAGCAGAGAAGACAATTAGTGGCTGCTCACTCCGATGGCTCTACTCGGCTTCCATGGTCAGAAACTATACACTTCTGAATACCAGCAGCTGGAAACCTTAGGAGGGGAGAGGGCTGTTGCGTTCAGGTGCTGCTTGACTAGACAGGCCACATGCTTTTATTCTTAAATTGCCAACCAGTGGAACTCCCAGAAGCAAGATGTTATATGCAGGTTCCCACAAGCAACCTGGCCACTGCATTCTGCACCAGCTAGTCTCTTCACCAACCTGAAGGGCAGCCCCACATAGAGCAGATGGCAGTGGTCCAACTGTGGCACTACGAATGTATGGACAACGGTGGCCAAGCTGTCCCAATCCAGGAACAGTTGGTAAAAGGCACTCCTAGCCAACACAGACACCTGTGCATGCAGGGATGGGTGGATCCAGGAGTGCCCTCAGATTACACACCTGCTCCTTCAGGGAGAGTGTGACCCCATCCAAGGCAAGCAACTTACCAAATTTTCAGAGGCAGGAAACATCTGCAAAGCCTCCATCTTGCCAGGATTCACACTCGTTTTTTTTTAATGCCCACTGCTGCATCCAGTTATCTTCTCAGCCATCCCTAATTCAGATGTTACAGAGAAACAGTGTTGGGTACTGATGCCACCCCGTGCCAGATCTCTTAATGACCACTCCTAGCAGCTTCATGTAGTGTTCAGTAGCATTGGAGATGGCATAGCACCTTGTAGTATCCCATAGCTCAAGACCCAGGGGACTGAGAAGCACTCAGCCAGTGCTGTAACCATCATTGGAGATAAGATAGGAAGCTCTGTATAACAGTGCCACCCAAATCCCATCTTCCATAGACAACCTAGAAGGATATCATATTCGATTGTATCAAAAGCCAATGACAGATTTATTAAGAGTCACAGGGTTACATCTACGCTATCCCTTCACTCCCCTTTAAGCCTGCAGCTGTGTCAGCATGACCTTTTCAAGTACCTTGCCCAAAAGGGGGAGGGGGGATTTGTGACAGGGCAGTAGTTGTTAATACGCCTAGTCTTTAAGAGGGGGTGGTCCCCATAAGGAATAGGCTGAATACTACTTTCCTAGATTGATAATATTAGCAGCAAATCTGTTTTGGGGTTGAACTTCAGTTTCTTAGCTCTCATCTAGCCTGTTACTAACTCTAGGCATCTGCACAGAGTATCCATGATTACATCTGGACCACATGGAAGAGAGAGAGAGATGGGTGTTATCTCCATAATGAAATCTACCTCCAGCTCCTCTGATGACTTCTTTCAGTGGTTTCATATAATTGATAGGTAGCCTGGGGGGCAGTGCAGAAGTCTGTGGAGCACTGTAGCATAGCTGCCCCGGTGCCAAACTGCAGCCACCCAGCCCAACATTCTGCAAATGATCATCAGGTAGGAATAAGTGTAAAGCAGTGTGCCCAAACCAGACAGGCATTTCTGAAAAATATTGTGGCTGAGCCAGTGTGGTGTAGTGGTTAAGAGCGGTAGTCTCGTAATCTGGGGAACCGGGTTCGCGTCTCCGCTCCTCCACATGCAGCTGCTGGGTGACCTTGGGCCAGTCACACTTCTTTGAAGTCTCTCAGCCCCACTCACCTCACAGAGTGTTTGTTGTGGGGGAGGAAGGGAAAGGAGAATGTGAGCCGCTTGGAGACTCCTGAAGGGGAGTGAAAGGCGGGGTATCAAATCCAAACTCTTCTTCTTCTTCTTCACTCTCCTATTACTGTTTGACCAGTGGCTGACCAAAGCCACTTCAGTTCCCAATCTGCCTAGAAGAAGGCAGATAAAAATGGCTCCAGAAAATGAGCGTCATTCAGGATACCTGGAGCCTCACATCTACACACTTTGAACCAAGAAAAGGAGATTTGCAACTCAGTGATAGCTGGTGAAATCACCAGCGTCCAGGAAGGTCTTCTTTAGAAGAATCTGCCCACCTGTTTCTAGCCACGGTTAATACTTTTTAAAGAGTTTGCCACCATCTAAGTCCTACTCATCAACCCAACCATTTCATTGTCTTAGCAGATCTGAGAATAAGAAGTGATTGTGTTGGTTGTCTGGGTCATCTCTGGTTTCTGGAGGTCAACCAGGGCATCAGTTTGTGCACCAACCAAATCAACTAGACACCCTTGCAGAGCTGTCTGGTCCTTCAGCCCTGCAGAGGTTAGCAAGAACCACTGGCTCAAATCAATATACTCGCTCTGCTTTCCTTTACTCTGAGCCTCTCATTGGAGGGCCACTTTAAGGATGAGATGGAGCATAACAGGTCAGGGGTAGGCATAGACAACTAAAGGGGGCAAGAAAATAGCATTACTGATAGCGGACTTGATTTGGCCCTGGAGCTACTGCTTGCTGTTCCCTAGTCTGTGAATCCACCTTGACAAACTCCTTAATCACACACAAACACCATGGTAATGCCTTGTGACCTCAGTGGCCAGCCTTTCCTTATTTGGACTCGGGGTCTATTTTTTCTCTTGCCTTGTAGGTAAGCTGCTCTAATGCCCCGTGGCATATGTCACTACTTAGCTGTTTCGATTAGCCACCTAAAGTGACACTGACTTGTGAGATGCAGGACCTCTGCTCACTTAATTTGCATCCAGGCGAATATTGGGCATATATGTGCCCAGGTGCTATGATAACCTGTTGCTGCAGCAAATAATAGCATGCTGTTTGTTACAGAAAAAATGGCTTAAATTAAGTAAATGTGTGTGCATACGAGTTTTGAGGAAGGGGAGAAACATACTTTGTTTTTACCCAATGCATACCCAGGCCACAGCAAGCACCGTCTTAGAAGAGACATTCTGTCTTGTACAGCAGAGAAGAGGCAATGCCACTCCTTAAAGGGCCTCTCAAAATTTGTGTACATCTGCTATAAAAAGTCATTTTGTTAAAAAAAAAAAAAGCCAGATTGTCGCCTGATTAATCCAGGGGACCTTTTAAAATGTTTAACTCAATATTGCAGACCTAATAAATATATTTATTATATTGACTAGATTATCTGTACATGAAATCCAGTTCAAAACTTGAGAGAGATACTTTTCCTAACAAGCAGTAGAGTGGTTTCCTAGGAAATGTCCCAGTTTGTCAACTATTCATTTCACCATCTCTATGCAATAGTATTCCTAGAAGCCATAAGATAGTCTCTCTGGACAAACCGAGTTTCCAATTGAAAGCAAACTTTGATTTTAAAATAAATTAAACAATTGTCCAGTAGCACCTTAGAGACCAACTAAATTTGTTCTGGGTATAAGCTTTCATGTGCATGCATACTTCTTCAGATACCAACTTCAGATACTAACTTTTGATTTTAAAAGTTACTTGACAGAAAATACAAGCACACTAAAAGCTTTTCAGCAAGAAGACCTCAATATGTCTGTCTTTCGGGCAGTCTTCTCAGAAAGCTACAGAGCATTATAGTCTATGGCATCCACTTTTTCTTTTACTTGCCCTATCATAGAATCATAGAATCATAGAGTTGGAAGAGACCACAAGGGCCATCGAGTCCAACCCCCTGCCAAGCAGGAAACACCATCAGAGCACTCCTGACATATGGTTGTCAAGCCTCTGCTTAAAGACCTCCAAAGAAGGAGACTCCACCACACTCCTTGCCAGCAAATTCCACTGTCGAACAGCTCTTACTGTCAGGAAGTTCTTCCTAATGTTTAGGTGGAATCTTCTTTCTTGTAGTTTCTTGTAGTAATGGCTATCACCCTGTAGCCATTGGGTGGTCAGTTGTAAAATCACACAGGGCTCCTGCCCCTGTATCGTTAAATGGAAGAGCAAATTTCAACAGCTTTTGCTGTCTTCTGATCAACTTCCGTCTTCTTTTGAATCCAGCCACCCTGTGGGGAGAAAAGAGCATAAGGATAAAATGGAGAGGAGCTGCAACTGCTTCAGTCAGTCAGACTTTTATTGTTTATGGCCAATGGCCATTTCATTATAAATTGCAATACATCAACAAGACGATCCAGTTAAAATATATTGATTTTCAGAACTGCAAATGACCCAAAATTAAAACTGAAAAGTTCCCCAAATCATTTAGAATTTTAAAAAAATCCTGTTGACCGTCAATGCTGTTCTGCAAGTGCTTCATCTCTCCACTTCTTTTCAGTAATCTTAAAAAAAAAGTTGCACTCTTGGCTGCAATTAAGGATGTGAGCTTGTGACTGAGAATTCCTGGTCCATAGGCAGAGCCAAGGACAAGCTTTGGCAAGGACCAAAATGTGAATTTTTGGCAGATCTGGTTCAGAAATTGGGGGGTTTTGATGCAAAGACCACTTGGAGGTTTGTTTGGTTTTTTTACAATGAAGTGGCATATAAATTTTATAAAATAAATGCATTAAATGCAGTGATGAAGAGCCTTCCACCCAGGCACTGATCAGGCTCACCAGGCAGTTTCCAACTCAGAGTCCCCACCTGACATCTTCCTTCACACTCTTGAGTTCTCCCAAGCCTTCTTTTGCAGCTGTGGCTTGACTTCACACCAGTTCTAGTTGTGACAAGATTGACATCAGGTGATTGGCAGCTGCTTTGGCACCTGTTTCTTCCCCAGGCCTGCCTAAGATTCACAATTGGTCTCCGCTTTTGGAATTCCTAGCATGCTTTCATTCTCTGCAGGGATTTCCCTTTGATTCCAAAGCTAATGTGAAACTGTCAGATCAAAGCAAGCCTTCTGCCTAGTTTCTGCTGCGCAAATTTAGACTTTATAATTTCATGGCCTCTTCAGCTTTCCCATGAATCCTCAAAACAGCTTACATTGCCTGCTTCACAGCCTACACAAGCAAACCAACCTAACAGCAAACATAAGCATAAATTACATTACCTACCAGATTCATTTAATCACTCAAAATTTGCATAGGATTAAAATAACTTCGATTCTTTACTTTCTTTGTGAAGTCTTTAGCTGCTCGTTGAAGTGGGGCAGGACTGGAATAAGCTCTAGAGTGCTGAAAACAGAACAGATAATAATAGCAAAAATGAATTCCAGGCTTTCCTGATCTTTGGCCTAATTTCTAAGAACAAAAGGATACGATATTTGTTTTCCTTTTTTGTGCCCCTTAGAAAACAGTGGCTGCTTGTAGGATTAACTGGTAGTGTTGGAGGGTTGGGGGGAAGGAAGAGACAATGATGTAAAAAGAAGGGGAATATAAACCTGAATAAAGACAAGTGTCTTAAAATGGTGAAATTGATCAGCATATAGGCCAAAATCCGCCCTCGCTGCTGAACTGCTTGTGAAGAACAGGATCTGAGGGAAGGAGCTGCCACAGGTACCTGGTCTAACCACTCAACCTCCTTGCCACTGAGACTCTTCAGTGATGCCTCAAACCTTCCCCAGTTCCCCAAGTTCTCTATGGATTTCCCTGTCACAAACAACACGTTGCTCTTTCCCTGCTTCTGTTGTGAGTTGACTGGGACAAGGGCTTGTTGTTGGACGTTAGGAGAGCAGGATTATGGCCGGAACCTCTAACCTCTTCCCCCAGTCCCGGAAAACCAGATTCCTCCCTTTCCGCAAAGCAATTGACAGCAACGTACCCAAGTACGACCATGTTACTTAGGGCATTTGTTTATATATGATATCCTGCATTTCATGTATTCTAAAGAAGTGTATGAAATAATCTTGTAAAATCAGACCTTTGCTTAAAAGGTCTGCAAAGCCAGTTTTAAATGGATATTCCTTGACTGGATACCTCGGTTTAAAAAGCTCTGCTATCTACGTATTCATGGGATCCAAACTTCAGGCCCTTATAGAAAAAGACAGCCTTAGCTTGGTTATTTCTTTACAGTTCAGGGAAACAGAATAATCCACTGTACAAGGTTAAAACAAATGAGAAGACAGCATAATTATTATATTATTATTATAATTATTATTATTATTATTACCCAGCCACTCTGGGTGACTTCCAACAAAATACAGTGGTACCTCGGGTAAAGAACTTAATCCGTTCTGGAGGTCCGTTCTCAACCTGAAACTTTTCTTAACCTGAGGTACCACTTTAGCTAATGGGGCCTCCTGCTGCCGCTGCCGCTGCTGCTGCGCGATTTCTGTTCTCATCCTGAAGCAAAGTTCTTAACCCGAGGTACTATTTCTGGGTTAGTGGAGTCTGTAACCTGAAGTGTATGTAACCTGAGGTACCACTGTATTTTAATACAGTGGTCTGTTAAACATTAAAAGCTTCCCTAAAGAAAGAAACATACCATAGGAGCATAGGACACGACCCATTCAAAAGAAACCAGGCCTGGATCAGCAGAAGTGAAATCAAAATAGTTTTTCTGTCAGTTCTTTCCCTCAAAGCACAAGAAAGTTATGCAACATTACTTTTATGTGAGATGCTTATCTTTTGTGTGTGCATATATTGCACAGAAAGGCAGTTCCCTCCATTCCTTCACACTTTAGTGTCCGTAAGAATGGGGACTATGCAGATAGCAGCAGGCTTGAGTCCTACTTGATGAAAAACTGTAAGCAGAGACTGCAAGGAATCCTTATCAACACTTCATGTCGTAGCTGCAGCCATTTTAAGTTTGTGTGGGCGTCAGAGCACCCCTAGCTTAGATCTTGGGTTGCAAGTCATTTACTGGGGTCCACGGCAGAAAAGATTTGCAAAGTATGTTAATCACAAGTCTTGTGCATATAAATGAGCTGGGGGGGCTAATTTGCTGACTTCAGCATCTTCACATTACCATAATTAGTGTATAGTTTCTTGAGAAGATGTCAAGTGTTGCGCAGTATCTTACGCAGTTCTGATCAATTATGAATAAGCGGCAGTTATTAAAGCTGAAGAATGCTATTACTTTGGGGAGTTCTTGTTCCCTTAGTCCTTTTGCAAATTTGTCACCCTCACTTTTTGATAGCTCTGTGTGGCTAATGAGAGTTTCCACAGTCAGCTGGTTCAACTTGCCCAACATTGTCTGTAGGGAGGGAAGGGGGGAGCCAGCGCATGCGGGGAGAGTGGTCTCCCTAGGAGCAGAAATAAGGGTGGGGACAAAGCAGTTGAAACTCTTAGCCAGCAGCAACAGGGCTTAAGCATCATCGTCATTATATTAACTGCCTCACTCTGCCTCATCACAGAGCCGGCCCTGCCTGTGAGGTTGTGGGACTGAGAGAAGGGTCTCTCCCAAAGGTCTCAGAACTCAGATAGGTTTATATGAGGAAATGCCGTCTTTCAAAGACCTTGGACCCTGCTTGAGAGGGCAGGGAATGCTGATTTGCTACACCAGCTCACAAGCTTGCACAGTGGACATGCTTGGATTCGGACTGTTTCCATCACACAATGGTAGCAGGACTAGCTCAGGATCCAGCCAGGGCTGTAGCTAGGGGGTGGTGCGGTGGGCCCCCACTAGGGGTGCAGACAAGGGGGTGGGCGCAAAATCAGCTAAAAAATATGTCCAGCAGTTTGAGGCAGAGTTGTATAATCCCCATTTAGCAGAAAAACCTGTAGGTTCTGTAGATAGACGCAGACCTGCTTTAGGAGGAGTGTGGCAGGGATTTTCCATTCCCTTCTGCTCTGAAAACTAAAGCCAAGCTGGTAATTCAAGAAGAAAAGTTTACTTGAGTGACACCCATTGCTCACCATGCTGCCTTGGGATGGTACCCCAGCTCAGGTACTGCTCACAAACAAACCACACCTGTATTGTATGGTAGATGGCTTGGTTTTCATGAAGTGTGGTGGTAGGACAGGGATTTTGGTGACTGGGCCAGTTTGAGAAGAGTCTGCCTGCGTGGCCCATGGTTCCTTGAAATGTGTTCCTTGAAATCAGAGTTTTCAGGAGAGAGAGAGAGAGAGAGAGAGAGAGAGAGAGAGAGAACTTCTGCCTTGAAGCATCTCATTACTTCCCCAGATCTGTGAGCCATTTAAGGCGCCGATTAATTTAGAACAAGTGGGGGACAAATGACACCAAGACTCTTTTGTCCCCCCTCCCATTAATTTACTAAGTAATAATAGTTAGGAGGACCTGAGCAGTGTTTCATCTGATGCTTTACAGTAATTATACCATCTTTGTAATGCATAAAGATGTATTATATATACATAATAATGTAATACATAACCCACACATTATGATGAGGAACATTTTGCTGGTGGAAGAAATAAGAAAAGGATATTGAAATTGTACAATGGTGACAGAGACCCTCATCCTATGTCCTTGGTCCAAAGAATTTGTGCCTGAGTAGTGGGGGTGTCTCGAGATCTTTTCTCTTCCAGAAGAGCTTTTCAGACTGCATGGGGATCACTTCTGAAGATCCCTGAATTTTAGGGGCTGCTTCTTGAAAGGAGACTTAGAAGCTGCACTCCTCTCGTGGAATTGGCTGTGAAGACCTTTGGATTGTGACCTGACCTGGCATTTAAGCAACACAACCTCCCATCATTGTTATTTTGAGCTGGGTTATGTTCGGCAAGAAACACAAAGAAGAGTTAGTTCCTTTTAAGTTGGAGAAGAAAGTCGATTTTACTTTAATGTTCTCCCACATTTTGTACTAGTTTTATGTGTGCAGAGAATTTTTCGCTTGGGATGTGAAGGACTTTCAAAAATGCTAACCTCTACCCGCAGTCTAACGTTACCTGCTAAATAGTTAGATCAGCTTTTGACTGGACTATGATTTAAATGAGATTCCTGCATTGCAAGGGGTTGGACTCGATGACCCTCAGAGGTCCCTTCCAATTCCACAATTCTATGATGCTGTGACTATTACATATCCAGAGCAGATTATATCCCTCCTTGGAAGGAGGACTTTGTTCTCCCAAAGCCAGTGAATCGAAAGTGTTTCACTGGGTCATTTACAGAGCAGGAATATGCAATGCAAAGCATCACAGATCAGAAAATTATAATCCTATAAGCTTCAGAAGCAGAATTCTGTTACCCAGGTTGTTATTTAAATCTGACAGACAGGATGAGCAACAACAACAAAGAGAACTGTAGTCCTGTTGATTCATCCAAGGCAAAAGAATTGAGCGAGTGCTTTGGACTTGAAGACCCAGTTTCAGATCCTTTCTTACTCATGAAGCTGATGAGGCGGCCTTGGGCAAGTTGAACTCTCTCAACCTAGACTAAAATGGATTCTTTGCACAAAGGATGGAATGCAGTGGAGTAACTTATAATTAGTTGGCCTAATTGCGTACCCCAGATGTCCTACTATAACTTGTTGGTGGAAACAAACCCTTTTGTCTTCAAACAAATCTGAGTACCTCCAGTAAAAATTACAAATGCTTGCAAGATGGCGGCAGAAAGTATATTTCATATTCTGAATGTATTTCATTTTCTCTCTGAACTGAATTGCGCCTGAGTTGTACTGCTGTCTGCAGAGACATCTAGCCTCAAATCTTTCAAATTGTCCGTTGAGTGCATCTACATGCTGTCCCAAACCTGCTGACCAGTGTTTCCATTCTGTGTGTCTCTGAGAGAGGAGTTCGGACAAAGAGCTACTGAACCAGCTTTGAAACGCTTATCAGCTGAAAGAAGAATGGGGAGAGAAGAGAAAAACCAAGCAATACCTTCTATTTTTATCTGTTCATGCATTTCTGCATGGTTAGGTAGTGGCCTCATTGCCCTGGCCTGCCAGCTACAGTTTCCTGTAAATGGGATGATGAGGCCGGACTTGCTGCTCAACAATGAGGCTCAACATGAAACTGGAAGCATGTTTTGGTGATGAGCTCCTGCGAGCGCTGCAAAAGGTCATGCAAACACAGCAATTATTGAAGCAAAGAATCCCACCACTTTCCTCTACACACAGGAACTCTTTTTTGTCCTTTAAGGTGTGCAGCAAGATTGAAGTGCTGACTTTCTCTACTGTGCAAAATACGAATGGCACTACAGTAGCATAACAGACTAAACGCTCTGCAGTCTCTTTCCCCTTAAAGGCATAGAATAGGAGAGGTGGTTGGCAATCCATCCAGGGGTTCAGCCCAGCTTCCTGTCTTGCCCTTGATCCTGTATTCCCTGCATCTCGGATCCTTTCTCCTGTGCCAGCAGAGATTAAGGGAAAGACTTCTTTGGCACCTCTGAAGAGCAGCTAGAGACTTGAATAGGGCCCTCACATTATCATCATCTCACCTGCTGTCTCCCTGGGTCTGTCTGAGGCAAACAAGGGGAAAGCTCTGCCAAAGACTGCTTTCTGCTCATGATTGAATCTTTTATATATATTTCATCAAATACTGCAATATTACCATTAATAAAATATCACGTGTATCCTACCCTTCCTCAAGCAAGCTCAATCTATATCCTGTATTATGAAACGCAGCATTTTTTCCTTAAAGCAGCTTCAATCTGAATGGAGAAGAAGAACAATAGCTCAACTGGTTAGAGCATGGTGCTGATAACACCCAAGGTTGCAGGTTTGATCCCCACGTGGGTTGGACTAGAACAGGCATAGGCAAACTCGGCCCTCCAGATGTTTTGGGACTACAACTCCCACCATCCCTAACAGGACCAGTGGTCAGGGATGATGGGAATTATAGTCTCAAAACATCTGGAGGGCTGAGTTTGCCTATGCCTGGACTAGAAGATCCTCAGGGTCCCTTCCAACTCCACAATTATTCTATAATCTAGCTGAGTTTTAAGCTCATAATGTGTACCCAGCCATAGATGATGGTTATGTCTGTACAGAGGGATTTTCAAATCGTTTTGTCATTGTTGGGTAGGGATTTGAACCCAAGTTTTCCCTGATCTAGTCCAGTATTCCATCCATTACCTGCCTTCTCAAAAAGAACTAGAAGTTAGAACCTCTCCATCTTTTCTTCCAGCCTGATTTCCATCTGTTCTGTCCTTCTTCACCATGCTACTTCCAGCAGGTTTGTGGGTTACCCCTCACTTTCTGTTCTTTGGAAGTAATTGTTAGGAATGCCTAAAAACTAAAGGTTGTGAAATCTTAAGTTAAAGGCTGTGCAACTTGTCACAAATGTGCCTTTTTCTTGCAGTATCCATAATGGAGTCATAGCTGTGTTCCAGCGAAAAGGTCTTGCAGAACACGAGCTCTACAATCTGAATGAAGGAGTCAGGTGAGCCAGATCATCAGATTAGACACCTGTCCCAAGACAGTCATCACCACGGAGGGTCATTATTTCATAAGTGTTCTGTACCATTTTACTTTATTCCAACTATTGAGATAGTGGCACTGGTGTCAATGACAGTGTGCAGAGATTTGCACAAAGGCAAGCCCTGATCAAGGAATTAACGTAGGTTCTGCAGTTGTTGTTGGCTTCCATCTTCCTTGAGAGACAATGGAGTGTGCCTCCAGGGGTGTAGCCAAACGGCTGTGTTAGCAGCACCAAAGTGGCCTCCATGGGGTGCAAGAGGGTAGTTACCATATTTTTGCCCCTGAAAAGTTCATACAGTTGAAGAGAGGATGGTGCAATGCTCTTTCTAGCTTCCTCCTTCACCTCACTGTGCTTCTCCCTTTTCATACTAGCCCTGCAACTTTTCAGAGGTGCCAGAAAACAGCAGGGCTAATCATCAACCCTCCTTTAGACAGCAGCAGCCAGTCCTGTTTTGCCACCTGAGGCAAAATGACAAGGAGCTATTGCCTCTTGGCTGAAGCCTCACTTACTGGGGTTGCAAGATCTCGCTCCTTCTCCTCCTGTCTTGGGCAGCAGGGGCAGGCAGGGCAAGGGTGCTGCCCCAAGGTATTTACCACCCAAGGCAGCTTCCTCAGGCCGCCTCATGGGTGGGCTGGCCGGCCCTAGCTGTAGGTAAAGGAGACATTTACAGTAAAATCCATTATGTGGTTGCTATAAGCGATAATGCCTTTTATCCTTTTCTTGATGCCCACTGAGGCTAGAATTCTCTGCCCCTCCTCCAGCAGCCTTCTTTGTTTATCTGCTGGCTGTGGACAAAGATGCTGTGCCTTCGCCCTGCCCAGCATCAAAAGCCAGCAGGCTTGCAGCAAAAGCCTGGAGCGCCGCATGCCCCTGCCCTTCCCCTGCCAGCCCGCTGCATTTCTACACTGGCTCTAGATAAGGGCCGTGTTCCCTCCTGTGGGTACAGCATAAAAGCCAGAGCTGGCAGGAAAGGTGTCGGTCGCTCCATGTCTCCTTCACCAGGTTGCTATCTTTGCTCTATATTTTTCCTGGTCTGTTTTCTACTTATAAGAGAGGCTGGCAAAGAACTGACTAGTCATCCTCTACTGGGCCACTTTTAGGAGTTAAACAAATCTGGTATATTTTATTTTTTATTATTTGTAGTCTAGGGTTGACTTTGTATGGGTGGGGTAAAAGGATAAGAAGATAAGACCATGAAAAGCTCTTCATGGATGGTAAAGCTGAAACAAGCCTGTCCTTTGAAGGTCTTTGCTGCATTTCCTAAGGGCTAGTTGGAATTGTTGTTCTTTCCAGTGCTATATTTTTTGGAGCAGACATATCTTCCCCCCTGCACTGATTCTGTTGGTAAGAATTTTAAATATTTACTGTATAAGAAGAACAGAATTTGATAACAATTATGCTTTTAACATTGTTGAATGAATGAGCTGGTGCATAGGGAAAAGAGCTGTCAGAGTGGTGGAAGTCTAAGGCATAGAGGGTCACACTTGAGAGAGGGATCAGTTGTGTCTCAAAGGCAACAAAGGAAGCAGAGCAAGAGAGAGAAGAGACCTTTGGGCTTGCCAACAAGAAGATTGTCCGTGAACTTAGCAAGGACATTTTGGTGGAGTGCAAAGGGTGGAAGCTAGACTGTAGGGGGTGAGGAATGGAGCTGGAAGAGTAAGTCAAGTGGGAGTGAGCAGCCTGCTGAAAAATTGAGGAAGACAAGAAGAGAGAGGAAATTGTGATAAAGCAGGATATCAGTGACTCAAGCTTTGAGGTATTTTTAGCTGCTTTCAGATGCTGGTAACAGACAAAGCATATTGCAGAATTGCTTTGCTAACCTCTGCTGTGGCTGTTGCCCAATACAAAGGCAGCTCCTGCCTCTTTCATAAAGGTTTTTGTATATGGCAGTTTTGAATACCTAAGCTACTTTTGATTTTCTGAATTAAAATTGAAGGCACCCGGAAAGTTAGGCTCGGCTTACTTTTAAAGCCTCACATCACCTTGCCAACAAAGGTCCGTATAGTTAAAGCTATGGTTTTCCCAGTAGTGATGTATGGAAGTGAGAGCTGGACCATAAAGAAGGCTGATCGCAGAAGAATTGATGCTTTTGAATTATGGTGCTGGAGGAGACTCTTGAGAGTCCCATGGACTGCAAGAAGATCAAACCTATCCATTCTGAAGGAAATCAGCCCTGAGTGCTCACTGGAAGGACAGATCGTGAAGCTGAGGCTCCAATACTTTGACCACCTCATGAGAAGAGAAAAGACCCTGGAAAAGACCCTGATGTTGGGAAAGATGGAGGGCACAAGGAGAAGGGGACGACAGAGGACGAGATGGTTGGATAGTGTTCTCGAAGCTACCAGCATGAGTTTTACCAAACTGCGGGAGGCAGTGGAAGACAGAAGTGCCTTGGCGTGCTCTGGTCCATGGGGTCACGAAGAGACTAAACGACTAAACGACTAAGCAACAACAACACTGAGGGGCAAATTAGATGGGATGCAATCTGCAGGTTTTTGTTGTTTGTTTTTACTTCAGAACAAGCATTCCCATGTGGAATTGCTCATTCTGTCCAGTGCCACTATTTCAGTAAGTGTTATGTGGTTCAACTATGATCTAACAAGGTATTGTGTCATTTTTGATAGACGAACACATTTACTCTTGCATGAACATTCACTGGCCATAAAGTACGGTGCATGTACAGCACAATGTGATGGTCACATGATTTATTATTATTATTATTATTATTATTATTATTATTATTATTATTATTATTCTCTTTGGAACAGGCAACTACTGAAAACTGAGTTGGGATCATTTTTTACTGAATATTTACAGGTTGGTACAGTTTGCTTTTTAGTCTTTTACTTTTCCCTCACGCTGTTCACTGAAGCAGTCTGCTGAACAAAACTATTGACAGCAGACGCTTCCAACCTAAGAGGTTTCAATATGAAAACTTTTCATGAGAGTTTGTTTGCCTGTTCACACTGGTCCTGACCTGCAGACATTTCACTTCTAAAGTAAGTGGTTTCAAAAAAGAATACTGAGGGACCTCGGTTTGCTTATATAGACGGCAGGGTCCGAGACCTAATTCTCACAGGGGTGGTGAACCTGTGTCAACTGAGGCAGCAGCTGGCAGCTTACCTGGCTGAGTGCCCTTTCCATTAAGGGGAAGGAGACCTACACAAAGCACACTAGTGCCCGCCCAGTAAAAATGTGGCTTCATATCAGAGTAACTGCAAAAGCAACCAAAATTGCAATCTCATATACACTTAGCAGGGAGTCAGTCCCATTGAACTAAATAGGACTTACGGAACAATTCCGATGGCGGTCAGGGAGCAGCAGGGCGGAGCAGAGCAGCAGATCCACCACCATATCAGAGGTCCTGTCGGCTCATGTTGGCCAGGGCTGAAGGTGCAGGTAGGAGCTTTGTCGCTCTTGGTGCACCAGCTCCAGTCTGGCACAGCTGAGGGGCCTGAACAGACATGCAGAAGATGCTGCTATAAATTAGTTCCATTTTATTTATTCAAGTCATGTACCTAAAATTTAGGGGGGTAATATTTGAAGGATGTTTTCAAAATTATGATATAAAGATGGCCAACATAACATGGAAAGACTAACAGGGGGCACTTTTGTAGGGATCCTGGCTCAGGCCAGAGGAGTTTAACCTCCTCTCCCTACACACTGTGGCTGCAATGAAAACTAGGGGAGCCCCACACCTAAGGTTAAGGAATGTTTTGGACCCTGACACGGCTGCTAGCCATAGGGCTGGGTTCAACTGGCTAATCCCAATAGTAGAAGCTTGTGCAAGGACTTTCACGAGCTCAATGAGGCTTTCACTGATGGAGCAATCTCCTTAGCGCTGTGGTGAATTCCTCCCATAAATTGTGCTTTGATGCTCAGTCAAAGAAAACAGGATTTATCCTTGGCTAACTCCTCCTCCTCCTCACTTTCCCTGAGCTCTGTGTGGATTGTAGCTGAGGCAGATGCAGAGGAGTCCTCCCTAGCTTGCTGGCTACTAAATGCCTAGCACAAGCTTCACGGATCTCATCCCCCTGCAACTTCCTCCTAAGACATCCGGAGCTTGCATGCTTGCGAGTTGCCTCCCTTTTGCCTTGGCAACTGTTTCTACAGCTCTGCAGCTGCTGGCTTCAGCAGACTCTGCCAAGGGAGCTGCGCCAGTGGCTGGTGGCATCTTCTGCTATTGCACCTCAGAACTGCAAGAATATGTTTTTTCTGCAAGCTCAAAAATTAGAAAGTGACAAAAAAATCATACAAGCGTGTGATTTCTAAGCCAGCCCAGTCATGTGAGTTAGCACAAGGTTTTTAAAACAATCCTACACTAAAGGTTCCCCAGTGAGTAATGTGAGGGGTTGAAAGGAAAGCAGGATCTGACCCAGGCTATGCAGTCCAGTAAAATCCACACTATATAATTCTAGTTTCTTTGCATATTGTCTGTTTCCAGGTTTAATTTTCCTGCTTTCACAGCACCATAAATATTAAGATGGGGCATCCCATGGATTGCAATTACTATTCACGTATCCCAGTAGAAGCTGTGAGCAATCCTCTTCTAATGAACTGCCATTTTAAAAAAAACAAAATACCTTGTGGTTAAAATATGGAAGTAATAATCTATCAAAGATTCAAGGGTAGCAGCATAACATAAATGGAAAGTTGTTTTATGTTGTATTTGCAGAACCAGCTGCTTACAAAAGGCATGGTGATCCTGAGGGACAAGATCCGGTTTTATGAAGGTAATTGAGGCATCAGTTGTGCCTGCGGAGCTTGATCCAAAAGCGCATCCAAATCAAACCTCTTTCTTCAACTGGCTTCAGACCAGAACAACAGCCTGCTTCGGCCCCAGCAGTCGTTTAATGTTCCTGCCTGCTGAACAAGGAAATGAAGTTGGTCTGGCACATCAGCTGTGGAAACGGCAGCCTCCCGTGTGGCTGTTTACCTTTTGCCTCAAATTATAAACCTCTTTATGATTAAATAGTCCTGTGAACATCAGTGAAAAACTGCAGAAGCCAATTCACTGAGAATGTTCCACTCTTCTGTCAAAGAGCTCATAGCCATTTCCATGTGTTTCCCTGGCAGTCTCCCATCCAGGTTTGCTTAGCTTCTGCACTGGAACTCCATTCTGTGACTTAAGGCCATTCTCTGGGACTTTAAAGCGCAGCGGGGTGGGGGCATGTCTCAGGGGTTGCACATATCTGGGGCTGCACATAAATCTCCCCTCCCCTCACACACCTGCGAAAAAAGTAAGTTAGAATCTTATTAATTTAGGAGAGGATGTTAATCAGCTGCCTTCAAGGGCTTGGTTTTATTGCTTTTTAAAAAGGAGGGTACACACAAACAGTCGTTAATTCATGCACACTTCGTTGAACTGGTACAAAATTATTCGAGCCTCACCAGTGGAGCTTGAACAAAATCTACCTGATTCAAGAGGCAGGGTTTGCTCTTATTAAGCCTGATTCACAGTTTGCACAGCAAATAAATCTCCCGTATCTCTGCATGAACTTTCCTCTCATGTTTGAAGGAGATTCCCAGTGGTATGAACAGAAGACTCCACAGTGAGTGTGCCATATACCATCTCGTGCATCCACAATACCCATGAACTAAATGGATGTGTGCAAAGGGAAAATGGAAAAGAGCTCCCTCCTTCGCATGTATTTTAAAGAAACAAGAAGCTCAACGTATACACAGTTCTGATGTGGCACATAATGCATATATTTGGTAGTTTGCTTTTCCACCTTTGTACAAAATACCCTTTTCAAAAGAACTCTTCAGTATGAGCCCTTGGACTAACTCCCCCCCCCCCCTCCTAATTTGTAGGACAGAAACTTCTGGATACCTTGGCTGAAACGTGGGATTTCTTTTTCAGTGATGTTCTGCCCATGCTTCAGGCTATATTCTATCCTGTGCAGGTAAAATATTGCTCTGTTACTTTAGAATCAGGAAAAACCAGAAGAAGCTACTCTGCAGGTTGATCAGCCAAGAGCCAGACATCACAGCGGGACAACAGATGAGGAAATACTTCTGCCAAACACATGGGGGGGTGTTTTCATTACGGAGAATTGCCTGTGTAGGCGTGTCTCTCTTCATAGCATGATGTTCACAGTGTCACTAGAAAATTATAGCTTGAACTTTCAAAGTCCCACCACTTTCTCAGCCTAGAGGTGTCCAGTACCTCCAAAATAACTGGCTAGGATCCAGAGAATCAGTTGATTTGTTTTGCATTTCCATGGGCTATTTGGAGTTATGAGGTTTGGGGATTAGCTTTCTACACCACCACTCATCAATCCTGTGACTATCGCAAGCCACTTTCGAAACTAAGAGGAGTGTCAAAGAAGTTTGTAACTTTAGAGAGGTTTGAAAACAAAATATTCCTAAATACAATATCCTAAGAAACCTGAGTTAAATTTACCACTGATTAATATTATTTCGATAAACCTCTATCCCCACATAAAATGATCCAGATTATAATGGAAGAAATTTTCATAGAATTAGTCAGTTATAGGATTTCTATAGAACTACAGAAAGTCAATTACTAAGGATTAATAGATCAGGACAATAACTTTTGGAGGGCCCAAAATACTTCTGTTGCATTTCCAATGTCATCACATTCCTTACAAAAACAAATATTTATTATTATATATATCCATCTCCTTAACCAAACTCTTACCCAAAGTAGCAGTAGTAGTAGCAGCAGCAGCAATAGCAATTTTATTATTTATACGTCACCCATCCGGCTGGGTTTCCCCAGCCACTCTGACCAGCTTACAGCACATATAAAAACATAGTTAAATGTCAAACTTTAAAAACTTCCCTATACAAGGCTGCCTTCAGGTGTCTTCTAAAACAGTGTTCCCCAACCTTGGGCCTCCAGCTGTTTTTGGACTACAACTCCCATCATCCCTAGCTAGCAAGACCAGTGGTCAGGGATGATGGGAATTGTAGTTCAAAAACAGCTGGAGGCCCAAGGTTGGGAAACACTGTTCTAAAAGTTATGTAGTTCTTGGTCTCCTTGACATGTGAAGGGAGGACATTCCGCAGGGAGGGCACCTCTGTCTGGTTCCCCGAAACTTCACTTCTGTCAGTGAGGGAACCACCAAAAGACCCTCAGAGAACCTCAGTGTCCAGGCTTGAACGGTGGGGGTGGAGACGCTCCTTCAGGTCTACTGGGCCTTTGAGGCCGTTTAGGGCTTTAAAGGTCAACACCAACACTTTGAATTGTGCTCGGAAACGTACTGGGAGCCAATGTATTTCTTGTGGCTGAAATTATAGTTGGGGGGGGGTTGCTCCATAATTCATATGCCCTCCCAAAAATTGAAAACTAGAAATGGAATTGATATATAACCAGTCTTGATATTTTACATCATCTTTGCATTAATTTTTACATTATGAAACATATATGGCAGAAATCAGCCATTTTGATGGATTATATAAATTTAAAAAATGAAAGTAAATACCATCACAAAGGTTCCTATGGTAATTTCCCCATAATTATTTGGAATATTATAAAGGCAGAATCTGTTCATTGTTCTTAAGCTTATGAGTCTCCATTTTGTCCTGATTGTACATAAAGTTCGTGTTCCTTTACTGCTGAGACTAAATTAGGGAAACTTCCATTGAATCAAAAGGACTTAAGCAGGCTTAAGTGGCTTCCACAAATAAATCTGAAAGCAAGCAAACGACAAGTGTTGAAAACAACTTTCATTCAATTGTCTCTTTAGGGAAAGGAGCCCTCTGTCCGACAACTGTCTCTGCTGCACTTCAGGAATATTATAACTCTCAATATTAAATTGGAAGATGCCTTGTCCCGTTCCCGAGCGAGGGTTCCTCCTTCCATTATTCAGATGTTACTTATCCTACAGGTACAGATTTTTCTCAGATACATAAATCTGTGTTTGTGCATGACTTTAGCGTAACACACTGTTCAAAAGGACTTACTGGTGTTGACCCCTCTTAGAAGATGCTTTTGTTTACTCCGTTTGGTGACTCTCCGTGTAGCAAGAAGCCATTCATTGAGAAGGGAATCATGTATGTTGATTCTTGGGGCAAGATGCCATTATTACCACCTGCACCACACAGCACAGCCAGAACCCATGTATGCGGTGGCCCATGATGTAAGAATTACTATTAAGTAATAAAAGAAGGGATGGTTTGCAAACAGAAAAATTTGGTTAGTGATAGTTGGTTTATCACGGAAAATACACTTGTCTTATAAACCACTTTGTGGAGAATACAGAAACTGAACATACCTGGCCCCTAGATTAAAGGAAGCCAAATGGCTTCCTTTTGTTCCTCTGCTTTACCTGCCTTTACATGAACAACAAAATGTGGACAAAGGAGGCCATTTACTATATGGTGGCCTGGCAGGCAGGCAGGCAGGCAGGCATGGCAAGCGAGCTGCTCCTGATCTGCTCTTATCTTGCCTGGTGGCAGGAGGAGAACTTTATTGCAACCAATACTGGGCTCTGTCATTGTTGTAGGCTTGTACTTTTAAAACAGCTGTGTGTGGCCTGTAATAGAGAGGAGACCATATCAAAAGCGTTTTGGGGCCCTTTGTATGTATTCGCCTCTGCTTTATAAGATTATCAGGGAGAAATGTCATATCAGCAGCTACCACAATTGTGTTCAGTGTTGTGTATGGAGAAAACAATGGTGGTGACTCTTCTGTAAATCCTAATGGAGGAGTCAATAAAAGTCACATTTTTTAGTTTCACAGTTCAATTGCAGTCAAAGTTTCCTGTTCCATACTATACCAACAACATCCTTTTTGGGTGAGGCCACCTGCAACAGGAGGAGGTGGGATTCACTCCTGAAGTGGTAGGATGTTCTGTACTAGTTCAGTCTGCACATGGGAGTTCCTAATTTTGAATGCTCTCCTCGGCTAACTGAGCCTTGCATTAAATAGCAAGGGCTGTTTGTGCAGCTGGGCATGAATGAAGGCAGAGCACGAAGCTAGAGTTCTTTCCCATTAGGCCAGTGAAGATGCCTGTCACCGGTGGCATCAGAGTAAACTCTGATTATAGATAACATGCTTGGAGAACACTGGAAGCTCTGTTCACAGCGTAAAAGAATGCAAGAATCCCGCATTGTGAATGCCTGGAAGTGGACCAGGAACAGCTCAGGAGAGGACGAGGTCAAGCTGGAACGGATTCCACTTCCAAGGGCAATTTCCAGCTCCATAGCCAGCCACAGAAGTCCCCCGACAGCACTGAAAGTTCAAGAGGATGGAAAGTGCTAGTTGTACAATAAGGAAATCTCACCCCGATCCTGAGCTCATTCCTAGGAGGAAGGGTTGAGTTTGTAGTCTCTCATACCAAGCTAATGACACCTCAAGGCATTGTTTTCCCCTTCAGAGGCTACCCCATGAAGCCATGAACTGGAAATGTATTTATTTATTAATTAAATTTGAACACCACCCTTCATCCGTAGATCTTGGGGCAGTTCACAACATTAAATTACAATATATAAAGCACACGTCAAGGTGTGTGTTTTTTTTTTTGCAAGAAACTTCTTAATGGAGAGGTCATCCTATAATAACCTTTTGTCATATAAATTTACTAGCCCAAACCTATGCATATTTACTTGGAAGCCTTTGCCAGGGACTGGCATTCAGTGGCGCTTGCTCCTTAGAAGGCAATTCCAGTCTGTGTGTGCGGATGTGGCAAGGCAGGCATAGAGTTCCCTCTGTTGCACGTAATACATCTATCTGCCTTTTCCCCCAGACAAATGTAAGTAGGGCCTACTTTCAGTCAAAGGTGCATGGGTAGGACTCAGATCAACTGTTTTTGTACATTTGCCTGCTGTTATGAAATACTTATAAGCAAGGGCCAAAGACTTCCCTAGTTGTCTCTTCTGATGATCAAACAAGACATGATTCTTAATGTGTCACTTGGAAGTTCATCAAGGATGTTTGATATAAAACCAAATAATAGTCATGAGGGACGAGCGGTTTCCTGACTGATAGGCCGCAGACAGTGAGAATGGGACCTTACTATTCTTCTACTCTAGTATTAAGCACAGGAGCCCCTCAGGGATGTGTGCCAAGTCCCTTTCTCTATTCCCTGTACACATTTGATTGCACCCCACTGTATAAGTCCAACACAATCATCAAATTTGCGGATGATACAACAGTGGTGGGGCTCATTAGTGAGAACGATGAGACTGCTTATAGGAAAGAAGTACAGGGGCTAATTCAATGGTGTAAAGAAAACAATCTTATGCTTAACACCAAAAAAACCAAAGAACTCATAATTGACTTTAGGAGAAAGAAAAGTGTATTTTTACCATTGCACATAAATGGCGAGGAGGTGGAGAGGGTTGGTAGTTTTAAATACCTGGGCATTTATATCTCTGAGGACCTCTCATGGACTGCAAATATTAATATGGTTGTAAGGAAGGTGCAGGGGAGGTTGTATTTCCTGAGAATGCTCAGGGGACTGAATCTATCTCAGCACCTACTTCTGTCCTATTATCACAGTACCATCGAGAGTGTCTTAACCTATAGTATATTATCGTGGTATGGGAGCAGCTCTGAAACGGATAAAAAAGCTTTACAGAGAATAATTAAAATTGCCCAGAATGTTATTGGGCTCCAACTACCAACCCTGGATGAGATCTTCACGTCTCGCACTTTGAAGAAGTCACACAATATCCTGAGAGATCCCACCCATCCTGCTCACAACTTCTTTGAACTGTTGCCTTCGGGCAGAAGATATAGGACAATGAAAACACGAACCACACGCCTTCTGAATAGTTTCTATCCAAGAGCTCTGATTGCACTAAATAATGATCTCAGGGCCAGTTGCAAGAAATAGCAAGCAGGGAGTAGGAAGGAATGAGATAGGTTTTAGGTTATGTTATGCCTTTAATAGGTTATGTTATATTCTGGATTATGTTATGTTTTTATAGATTATGTCTGAATAGGATGAGAGTGTTGGAGATACGTGCAAATGTGTATGTGAACCCGGTCTTTGGGTGGGTGTTTGATTTTCGTTGTTGTGTATACTGTGTATATACGGACAATGACAATAAATTTATCTATCTATCTATCTATCTATCTATCTATCTATCTATTTTCCCTGGAACCACCAGTGCACGGGCAGGGGAAGTTTAACTCTTACAAGTTCTGATCCCAGTGATCCCAGCCCTTTCCTTGCTGCTGTTAGCCTTGGGCAGGGGAAACTCCCACTGACACCAACAGTAGGGTGTGGGTGGCAGTTTTCATCAGGATCAGGACATCAGGAGGAAAGGTTCAGGACTCCTGGGTGCACTGTGGTCCCACGGTACCCTATGCATCTTTTTTTTAAAAAATCTGCTATTGGTGCCTCAATGTTAAGCATTTATTTTCATGTGTGGTGCCTTGCGTGGTTTGGCCCTGAGTGTTTAAAGGGACATTAATGTAATTTTAAACAAGCATTTCCCAAGTGATTGTGGAAGTCGCATGGGTTGAACACACCACGGAGAATGCAAGGAAATTGTGCCTTTAAATGTACACTTCTGTGAATAGTAGCATGTATTGCATATTTAAAAAGCACCCAGGCTTCTATGTGACAGACAAGAATTTGCCCTTAGCAAACATCACTGTATTCTTAATAAAAATAATTGATGGTGTTAGCTTAAAAGGCAGTAGCCTAATTATTAAGATACCAGAAAAAGTTGCTCTTTACAACCTTACAGAGATTTCCTATCCGCTTCTTTAGTCATACTTCAAAAGCAAGAAAAAAACCAGTCAAACTGATTTAGTTATTCACAGAGGATAAGGCTGTGGAAATGCCTTTGAAAGCTGAAATCCATCAAAATGAAAAACTCATGAATGTTTTAGTCCAGGAACATAGGTGTGAAAGGGTGGGAGGGTGTTATCCTCATAAGCGCTCGACAGCAGTCAAGCCAGCATTCATACTTCTTCAAAGCACTGCATAGGATATCTCTTCAAAGAAACTTAAGGAAGCCAAACTTAGCCGTTTAAAGTAGATTCTTGCCAATCCCTCCACTTCCTGCTTGGAGATATACACACATTAAACTCAGGCAACTAAGCACATCTCTGTTTGGAAGTGAAACAGGGCCACCCAAAAATAAGGGTGTGCCCATACTTGGTGGACTCCCTAGGTGTGCAGAAATATGTACGTTGGTGGTTTTTTCTTTAAACGTGCTTTCTAAAGCTTCTAGCATAGCTTTGTTAATTCTTAGGGTTGCCAAATTGTAGAGCTTTTCTGGGGAAACCTCCCCCCCCCAAAAAAAAACAGTGATTTTAAGCTTTTGGGGCTGTTTCTTTTGTGCAGCTACATTTCAGTGGAACTTGCAGAGGAGAACTTCCTGTGACACTGTGCCCTATCTGCCATGGATGCTATAGCTGAGACTCAGCATTGCAGGGGGTCAGGCCAGATGACCCTCAGGGTCACTGCCATCTCTAAATTAACAAGGTGTAAAGTGCATCATCCTGAGTTGCTGGCCCAGTGGTCTGACGCAGTATAAGGCAAGTTTTAGGGAAAACACCAGGGGTAGAGCACGTGGTTTGAATGCAGAAGATCTCAGCCCCTGGCATCCCAGTTTAAGGTCTCGTATCACAAGATTGGCAAAAACCTCAGCCTGGGCCATTTTGCTTTAGGTGAGCTTTCCATTAGCCGCTATAAGTTTTTGACTGCGTGGTTTTTAAATCTGGCATGGTCTTTTAGGCTTTTATACTTTTAGATGCAATGCCTTCTGTGTACATGTTAAGGAAGAATAAAAATGATCTTGAATAAACAAAGAGCTAATGCTGGTTAGAAAAAGCTGTCTTGGACTGATTTGGTATGTCTGGTATTAGTATGTCTTTGAGATTTTCCGCACCAGAAAGCTGTTGACTTTCCCTACTAAATAAAGCAAATGGCAGAGAATAAGCAGGTGAGCCCTGCCTTCTGCAAAACTTCCAAGCATCCTACCTGAGATCAGGTCAGATCATAGAACTGTGTCTAGCAAGGGACTTGGGGAGGCAGCACTTTGCATTTGGATAGAGTAATTTAACTCCTTCCTGCTGGGCCCCCTGACCTGCAGCTAAAGTCTAGGGGCTTCCAGTTAAACTATGAGACCCACAAGTTCTAATTCTGACGAAACATCAGTTTGGGGCAGGGGGAAGGAGTAAGACTATATATAGCAGATTACAGCTATTTTTTATCATTCCTGTATGCCACAGCAATGATGCATGTGTGCTTTGTTTTTAACAGAGCTATCATTCTGAATAGCTGTAAACAGTTTGTGAGTGTTTTCATTGCACATTTAAAGCACTTGTTACAGCTCCTTATCACCTGCAAGTCTGTTGCCGCATTGTGTGAAAGAATCAATAAAACATTAAAGAGGGAAAACGTTTGCTTAGATTTCCCTAAGTAAGGTGGAACCAACTCTCACTTTGAAAGCAATCTCTGCAGGCAACTTCAGTGATTCTTCCTTGTTACAAACAACCAGGCAAGTGGCTATTTACAGACCTGTAAATCCCTCAGTTTCTGGATTTAAAAGTCCACATTATTCATTTAGAGTCTGTGTACTCCCGTGCGGCAATTGGACCTGAAATAGTCATCATGGGAAACCGTGCACTGGCACCGTTAAAGAACTTGCAAGGGGTGCTTATGTATGTATATACAAACGGCCACAAATTTTCCACATTTAAAATCTTAGAGGAGCAATCCATTCCCAGGAAATTCTGGAAGATCTGTAGCAATAGTTGGCCAGAAAGGAATTGTGCAGGTGGTTGTGGCAGTAGATTGTGCCGGGACAAGAAAGGCTGTGACTCTTTTTGAAACCTTTTCCCGTCCTTTTGTCTCTGGGCTGGGAAAAGGTTTGCCAGCTTCATTTCTGCGTGTCAGGCTGCTGTTAAAGGCACAGGATAGCTCAGCTGGTTAGAGTGTGCTGCTGAAAACCCCAAGGTTGCAGGCTTGATCCCCGTATGAGACAGCTGCATATTCCTGCATTGCAGGGGGTTGGACTAGATGATCCTCAGGGTCCCTTCCAACTCTGCAGTTCTATGATTATCTCACTTTACTACTGATCATCACAAAAAGGAATAAGACAAAATAATTGTTTAGTTTACTGGAAGTGTTTCAGGGCATCCCTGAAAATGTAAAATTGTCATCCTTAATATGGTTGCCACAAGTAAAAAAACTTTGCTCTAGCTCGGGGGTCGGCAACCTGCGGCTTCAGAGCCGCATGCGGCTCTTTAAAGCCTTTGCTGCGGCTCCGGGCGGTGGCGAGGGGAGGAGGCGAGGGGCGGAGGCAAGGAGCGGAGGCATAGGCGCAGACTCCATGGGGCCTGAGGGGGCCCGAGCCCCCTCAAAAATTCGTTTGGGGGGGCTCCGCCCCCCCAATAATCTCGGGCGCCCCTCCAGCATCAATCCCCACGCCCGCGCCGCCAGCCCCCGACGGGCGCCCCCTCCCCGGCTTGCCAGCTCCGCGCGCGCTCCGCCTCGCCTGCCAGCTCGGCTCCCTCCTTCCCTCGTGCAGCTTGTTTTGAAATTCCCCTTCCAGCTCCGCCACGGCTCGCCCGCTCCCTCCGCCCTCGCCGCCGCCTCCTCCTCCTCCTCCCCCAGTCCCCTCCCCTCGGCTGTCCCCGGCACAGGCTGCCTCACGTACGCGGCTGCAGGCAGCCCCTGGAATGGAGACCCCGCGCGCGGAAGGGAGTGGCGGGCGCGCAAAAGGAGAGAAAGCCGCTGGCGCGCGGAAGGGGCCGGTGGATGGATGGACCGGCGGGCGGCGGAGTCACCTGGCTGGAGGGAGGTGGCGCGCAGCGGAGCTTCCAGGAGCGGCGGCAAGTTACCTGCGCGTCGCCCAGGGTGCACCTGCCTGGCAGCCAGCTGAAGGCTGAGGGCCGCGCTATCTAGACTTTTGGCTTTTGGTCTGCAGAAAATGCACCCACACCCAACAGGGGGTGAGAAAGGCCTAAATAGCTTTTTATTATCACTATATGTATGGTTCACTGGGGCCCTGGTTAATTTTCTTTGGCATTTTGTGGCATTGATTATGCAGTCGCGGTTGCGTGGAATTCCACGTGGAGTTAGTTGCCTGAAGCCCCTTTTTAAACTTAAGCAGGGGAAAGTTAGGTGAAAGTTTGGTGAATTGCTGCCAAGGAGTGTGGTGGAGTCTCCTACTTTGGAGGTCTTTAAGCAGAGGCTTGACAACCATATCTCAGGAGTGCTCTGATGGTGTTTCCTGCTTGGCAGGGGGTTGGACTCAATGGCCCTTGTGGTCTCTTCCACATATGTATGTGAGCAGGTCTTCTCCAACATGAACTATATTAAAAACAAACACCGATCATGCCTCACAGATGACACCTTGCAAGCCTGTGTGAAAATGAAGGTGACGTCTTACAGCCCTGATGTGCAGACACTGAGCACTGAGGTTCAGGAGCAAAAGTCCCATTAACCTGGTTACCTGGTTGTAAATTAAATATTTTAATTAGCTATTAATTTGTCCTTTTTTCTTGAGATTGACAGCTGACTGCACGATCCTGTATATATAGCATTAAGGCAAGAAACAATATATGCAGTGTTATATTTGTTTTAAATGTTGCAATGTTTTTGCGGCTCCCAGTTGTTGTTGTTTTTTCGGAAACGGGTCCAAGTGGCTCTTTTTGTCTTAAAGGTTGCAGACCCCTGCTCTAGCTAATAACTGGGAGGGGGGATTTCTAAGGTTATAACTTTATCCGAATTAGCACAAACCCAAACTCTTGCATTGCACTGACACCTAGTGGTCCATGGCAATAGTGCAACATATTGAGAACTATGATGGGGCATTGCATTCTGTACAAAATGTGGAAAGTGTCTGGAATATAGGGTTGTCACAATGAGACTATTGGACTGGAACATGGGCTTATCTACAAGATGGGGGCCTCTTGTGTGAGTGAGTTTGTGAACATGTGTTCCCTCCAAGGAGCTCTGGGTGGCAGACATGGTACTCCCCCTCCCCCTTTTCACCCTTGCACAGCCGTAGGAGGTAAAGTAGGCTGAGAGATAGGACTGCTCCAAAATCACCCCATGAGCATTGTGGCTTAGTGGGGATTCAGATGCCCTTGGGTCTCTCATGCCCTTGTCCAGGACTCCAGTGCCGCTGCACTATCTTGGCTACGAATGTCATAGAATCACAGCGTTGTAGAGTAGGAAGGGACCACGAGGGTCATCTAGTCCAACCCCCTGCAATGCAGGAATCTTTTTGCCCAACATGAGGCTCAAACCCACATTGCTGAGATTAAAAGTCTCATGCTCTACTGTCTGAGCTATCCACAGACCAGGCTGGAACTGTTTGCAATTCCTTCCTCCATTCATTTCCTGCACCAGCATTCATTCATTCATTCATTCAATTTCTATCCCGCCCTTCATCTGAGGATCACAAGGATCCAGAACAGAATCCACAAGGTTTCTCATTCAGATCCTGCAGAATGTGACACACAAGTTGTAATTAAACAATGCATGTCCCTGGCAGCAATTAAGTGCACCACCCTCGCTTTGCAATGATTGATAGCTTAAGTCTGAAATGTTGACGTTTGTGTCCCCCCCCCATGTGTTTCTCAGGGTGTTCATGAATCAAAAGGGGTGACTGAAGACTATTTGAAACTGGAAAACCTGTTGCAGAAGGTTGTTTCTCCTTACTTGGGCACCTATGGCTTGTATTCCAGCGATGGGCCTATCCCACACTCATCCTGCATTTTAGGTAATGTTCACACTGTCTTCTAAAACACAATATGTCTGTTGAAGTGCTTTTTTGTCCACAAAACATGGTATCATTTTCTGGCTGGGACTGCACAACTATACCAAAGTTAGGCATCTGTGTAAAATGTCCTCCATAACCAGCTTACCTAAGAGATTTTGCTTGGCTGATAAATTAGGGGCAGGGCCTTTTTGCCAATGCAACTTCTTTGCTGGAAGACGGCAGAGGTTGTCTGAGGTAAGCAAAATATGCATCGTAAAATCTCACTCCTTGAACTTGGCCCAGGACCAAGCCAGAGGTTTCCCAACTTCACGTTGGTAGAGTAGGTTAGGCTAGAGAACTTCATGCCAAACTAGGGCTAACATTCAGTGGGTGCTGGAAAAGAGCCTCAGATATTTTCTGACACTGGTACAAGGATGTGAGAATGGCACTGCGGTGCCTCCGCGGTTCAGACATGCAGAGTGCTTCCAGCCTATGAAGAAAGAGCAATGGACTGTTCTGTCTATGCGGTTGACTACCAGGGAGAAGCCTGAGAGGAAATCAACCTTCTTTGACACTTCCCCTGCTCTCAGATGGGGGCGAGTTTGGGAAGCTGTCTGTTGGACAAAGTTTCCATAATAATTTTACCCCCCCAGTTGGGGGCTGTGGCCTCTGACATGGCAAACCAGTAGCGCTGCTGCATTTCCTTTTCCCCTTTTCTGCCACTGATTGTCAGGTAAATATTAGGGATACATAGAAAAAGAGTCAGAAAGCTGAATCTACAACATCATCAGCTTTTTTCTTATTTGCCATCATTTGTTAAGACAGATTCCAAAGTAATTTACAGAAATAATCCTACGAACATCCTAGCTAGACAGGATGCAGAAGGAAGTAAAAGACGCTTAAAAAGAAAAGAGCTCCTATGTCAGCTCTTCTATTTAAAGGCAGATTCTGGTTATGGAAAAGATGCCCTTTTTGAAAATAATTTCACCTGCAAGAGAAGGAGCTGGCATTTGCTCCTTTGCATCTGACAGCTTTAAACTGCTGCCCCCTTGTGGCTATTTTGATGAAACAGCACTCAGCTGAACAGCCTCAGCTGCCTGAAAGTTGTGACCACTCTCATCTCACTCACCTAAGCTCTTCAAGGAAGAACAGGACTGAATATACTTTTTTCCCCAAAGAGGAAATTGATAATAGAAGTTAGAAACTTCTCTGAAACTGATTAAGAGATCACTTGACCTTAGTCTGAGAAGGCCTAGAGTCATGGAATTGTAGAGTTGGAAGGAACCCCTGGGGTCAAATAATCCAACCCACTCAATGCAGGAATCTCAACATGCAGTCGCCCCCCCCCCCAATCCAATTTGGGATCTCTGTGTCCAAATAATCTATACTGTAAGGCACTGTGAGATGCTGTGGCCGTCTCCAGGCTGAGAGTCTCCAGGCTGATCTGCCATAATGGCAGGAGGGAGGTGGCAGAAAGGTTTTGTTGTTGTTGTTGTTGCTGCTGCTGCTGCTGCTGCTGCTGCACATGCCCTAGAGAGGGAAGCAGAAGATGCTGAGGCCAAGAAGGGAAGGAGGCAGAGACCTGAAATGGCAACTCATCAAGCACGTACAGCCAAGTGTCTGAACCTGGTCAGGCAAGTTTAGGAAAGAATGGGTTTGAAGAGTGAGGAAGAAAAGGGGAAGAGTCCAAATATGTAGGGGGGAATTGGGGGGTGGGGTGGGAGAAGAGGTGCACATGACAGAGGTGAGGCTAAGACTGATGTTTACATATTGATTTGAAGCAACTGTCCAAATACTTGACCACAGGCCTCTCATGGTGGTAGTAGCAGTGATGGTAACGATGCTCACAAGAAAAGTGTAGGGTTGTGTACAGGTTTTAACTGGTCTTCATGTTTGTTAACAGAAAAACGTTTCTTCCGGCGATCCAAATCGGGGGACATCCTGACCAAGAACCCTGTGGTGAGATCCAAAAGTTACAACAATCCTTTGCTGACTCCAGTAGCTGAGTACGAAACGGAGGGCGTGGCCCCCAATGGCACTGGCATCCGAAGGCACTCGGTTTCCGAAATGACTTCCTGCACAGAGATGCAGGGCTACTCCAACCTCACAACCATCACAGACAATGGTTCCAAGACCTCCATGATCACCATGAAGAATTCGCAGTCAGGAGAGTCAGAGAGGCTTTCTGCCAGCTCAGCGCAGTGCCCCAGCAACCTCAATGCACCTGAGCAACAGAAGGGATTCTTTTACGCAAGAGATGACCAAAAGAGAGCATTTGAGCTGGCCAGGGACTCGGACTTGATTGCCATAGCCCCTACAGCCAGCCCTGAAAATATAGTGGACCAAATTTTGGAGTCTATTGAGTCAGATTCTGATGGGATTTTCATTGATTTCAGCCAGAGCTGCTCAAGTTCATCAGGGTACAATGTGGATGTGAGCAGGCAGAGCCTTGTCTGAAGCACTCTTGATAAGAATCCTAGTTTGTGCTTAGGAACACAGGATAACTGAAGGGTGCGAGGGGGTCATATGAAATTCTTGAGCAGCTAGAAATTCAGATAAAGAGAATGCCCCTCAGACCAGAATGACATAGGAGGGACACGTGGGGGGGGGGGAGATGGATCATCGTGGTTTAGATAATGGTAATACCACTGAACCTCAGTTGTGGGAAAGTGTCTCTGTCTATTCCGCAGACTTCAGTGGAGCTTGGGCAGGTTGCACCAGCTGCCGGTCAAACCCGTGAAAGCAACACCATTCCGTCAGAGGCCAGCCTGGGGCAAAGGTGCTACATGGGGGGCAGGCAAGGGAGCACGAACCTGGGGTCTCCAGTCTGCCTCTGCCCTGTTATACTGCTGCTGCCCTGGATCAAGACACCAGAGGAAAACCTACAGTGAAGGACCTGGTGGAATAGTGGGCTGGGTAGCTGTGTCCATGTGCTATAGTGCACACAAAACTAGTATTCTCTCATTCTCTGGACTGGACTTGTGGCACACTTTCCTTAAAGGAATCCTGCCCCCTTCCCATTCTTCCACCACTTCGGCCTGGCGTGTGTACATTGCCTCCCTGCCATCCAAAGCCCCTTCCGCATGGTTGTGTTCCACAGTGCAGCAATAGCATCAGTAAAAAGTAAAAGATTGCAGGTGCGATTACTGGTCTGGAAAGTAATTATGCCATTCCTCTAGCCTATGTGATTCCTATTGATGGAGGTTATCAATGTGGTTTGGGGTCTAAGTAGATGGAAGTGGTCCTTGCAACAAACGGGAAGCATATGAATTGGGCTGGAGGATTTGAGTGCATGAGAATCTCCACGTTTTCCAATTTTATGCTTTCACATAAAGCTGTAGGAAGAAGTTTCAGAAGAAACAGGGTATTTGAGGTGTGGGAGAATTCCATGCCAGCATTGCAAAGGGGAGAAGACGCATCCTCGGTGGCTGCCCCGTCTGTGGCGCAAACAAGCAGCAAAGCAGTGTGGACCAAACACCGTGAATCTGATGCCCTGGAAAAGCAAACCCGGGGCAGGTTTATGGGCTCATGTGCACCACTTGGCTTATTGCTGGATTACTCACACCTCATAGTGCCTAGCTGACAACCCTTTGGAAACCTGTGCCAAATTAGTGACAATTAACTTAAGCCTCATTCGTTTTAATTGGATTGGGGCCATTAAATCTGAAGTAAAGTGAGGAGGTATCTGTGGTCCTTGATTTGTGAAGGCCCGTTCATAGTTCTGAAGTCATCTAATGTTGCGGTCATCCTGAGCATGCATGTGTGAACCGGCCTGCAACACAAACCTGAGAATGCACCATGTGGCTATGCCCTTAGACTTCTTGCTGTCTTTGTCTCCTTCATCAAACACTGTTGTTAAGTACACATTTCCCACACCTGCTATTAAATCCTTTTGGATGGCAACAGCCACCGCCACCGCCTGCCACACGTACTTTTGGGGTTACTTACAAACACTTCCATAAAAGCAAAAGCTAGCTTCTTTGAAGAATAACATTTATTTAGGATTCAGAAGTCAGCAAAGTCTGTTTTAATTTTAAAAAGATTGTGCCAGGTAATAGCAAAATCTTATGATTATATCATGACCATTTTGGTTGTTTTTCTCACTACATCAGCACTCCCTTTGAAAGTTCTTAACAAAATTTAAATAAATAGCGTGCTGTATGAATAGCACTGTTGAGAGACCGCTTCCTGTGTGTTTTTTCTTACAAAACCAATAATTTTTTTAAGCGTAATTCTTGAAATAATAGCCAGATGCGTCTCATGAAGCACTGCCAGAAACTGCATTTCACTTGTGCTAACGGAAGCTAAGTTAAGTCCTCACTACCAATCTATATATAGAAACCCATCCCATTCCTGATTTGTATGTACTGTGTGTTGGGAAATTGGGCTTCAGGAAAACTCTCTTTGGTCCCCCATTAGTGGGAGTGATGGGTAGCCATACCTGCAATTGTATGAAGTTGTCATGAGCTCTGCTGGGTGTGCTTCCTTTTCTCACAGTGTTCCTCAAGAAGTCCAAACAAGTATCTTGAGGATCTTTGGCCCTTCCACACTAGCAAGGCGGGAGCAAAGCAAGAGGCATGATAGAGCTCATCTCCTGAAGCTATTCTTCCCATTTCTTCCTCTGAATCACGCTCATAAGTAGAAAGGAGAGAGAGAGAGATTCCTTTTTTCCTTCACCCCATTTTCGGCTCCGCTATTCCACAATTTGGATGCTGGATATATGTAAATCCCATGCAGCCTGCACTCTTCCTCCCTTTAATAATTGATCCAGTGTACACACATCCTTAGAAAGAAGTGTTTTGCAAAGTGATTGAGAACTCCTGTGCTTTCATAATTTGTGTGTACTGAATGCACCAAGTTACAACTTACTGTCTAGGTAAGCGGCTGGGAACCTGTAGCCCTCTAGATGCTGAACCACACCTCTCATCATTCCTGACCATTAGCCATGCTGATGGAAACTGGAGTCCAGTATCATCTGAAGGGCCACAGGTTCCACACTGATGGCTGAGGACCTAACTCGGCTTCATTTAACCAATAACAAGAATGCCATTTAAATTACACTGAAAACATAATACACCCTCACAGTTCTGTCGGATAAACCTTCAAGTACTACCCAGACTTTATTCTCTTCACCAGACTTTCCACCTTTCACCCAACCCCCCTCCACATTAGGAACTGAACTCCAGAAATGTCTTAAAATGATACACAGAGGAAATTCTATACACAAATTAATGTAGCATAACTTTACAGACCTTTGTGGAATAATTTTAAAGTGAACTGAATACTTACGGCAAACACACAGTTCGTACAACATTCATGTTTCTGGCAGAAGAAGAGTCTTGGCCAGCCTAAAAACGTGAATAGGGAAGAAGTTCACCAAGATTTTTAAAGAGGTGTGATAGGAATCTATCTTAGCATTTTGAAGAGGAGTGCATAGCTTAGGAAACTGGGCCTTAGGAGCAGGGGGATGCAGTGAAAAGAGCCATAGCTTGATACTAGATTGTATCCTTTGTGTGCAGACTGTTCCAGGTTAAAGCCCCAACATCTCAACTAGATAGGATCTCAACTAGCAAGGCTGCGAGAAGCCTCTGTCCAACACCATAGAAAGCCACTGACTGCTAGAGTAATAAAGTAGACCAGGTTTATACGAGAGAAAGCGTGAGGATGGACCCTGCGAAGTCTCAGAGGTCAGATCTGCACACCCCCTCTCATTAAACAACTATTTGGTTTGTCTTATCTGCAGTCCTATCTAATTTTCATCAGAGTGAAATATAAAGCTTCCTGCAATTTTCATTTGTAAGGAAAAGATGCAGTGTTGTCTGGTTCAAAGAAACAAGAGACAATGTTTACTTAACGTTCTTGTCTCTCTAGGATTTCGTAGGCCATGTTCAAGCTGCACCTCAGCACATGTGCTTCGTAAGTGGGAAACATTTGCTGCTAGAAGGCACCAGCTTAATTACAGAACCTGATTACATGTCCACTCTTACCTGGAGAACAGAATAGTCCTGGGAATACAGAAGCTGCCAACATTTGCATTGGGAAAGACCAGGAACAAACCAGCCCCCTTCCTTGGCTCCCTTTGTCCGTCCATATACTATTCAAAGATGCTCTCAGAAGGCAGGTGAAGCGGGTGTCATCACAAATGAGTGTTTTGTGAGGCTCCTTCTTGCCTCAGGTTTAGTATTTGAAATGGGAGTTGGAGTTGGGGGAGGGCAACTTTTCTGCCAGAGCTTTTCAGCTGCAGCAGCCAGGAATAAATGCTAATGCCCAAAGGTACTGGATGTAATTATCAGTATATTGGGGTGGAATGTGTTAAATTTATCCCCAGCCACATGTTATACACAAACATGCATGTTAGTGTGCCATCAATGGAAGCATTTTTCAAAACAAAAAACAGGAGCCCAGAGTGCTCTGGGAAGGTAAGCAAGCCTTTGGGCAAACAATTTGGTGCAAACACAGGAAAATGTCTTCAAGGGAGAACACAAGGTTTTGTGTTGCCTTTGGGTCCTACCTAAAGCAAAATAAAACAATAAACATGGGGAGGAGGCAAGGGGCAGAGGAGGTGAGAACAAGCTGAGGATGGAGCAGTCTGTCCTAGGAGAGGACTGCAAGACTGAGTGGCATAGTCTCCTGGAGAAGAGACTCTGTTTCATGAGGAGAGGGGTGACCTATCATGGAAGTTGCATGCTCTTTTAAAAAGGAGGAGAAAAGGTAGGTGCATTCAGGAAGCTCACTGGGGACACACATTTCAGGCATTGGTGATGAGTGGAAAGGGGGAGGCACCATATACAAAGGAGAATAGGAAGACTAGGTTCTGGTACATCTCATGCAAATGGGCTGGGTGCAAAAGGGGTTCAGTGTGCAGACCTGGGTGTGGGGATCCTAACCTTTACTAATGTAAATGATGATTGACTAATTTACCAGCCGAGGCTGCTTTTTCTTCTCAGGGGGCTACTGAACAACTAAACAAGAGGCCAGCCCCTGTGGGGTCTACATATGGCAAAGAGTCAAGTGCAGAATAAGGCATTTGATACAGTACATCCAGAGTCCTTATACCTCTTAGGTAATGAGAATAAGCAAATTTCCAATACATGCTGTGTGACTGCCTAGCAGTGTGCAGAGTAAGGCAGGATGACAGCAAAGCAGAGTGCCTTCCTAACAAATATGAGTTACCATCTCAAGGCTGAGGTCCAAGAATGTTGAGGAAGCAGGTAGCGGAAATCATGCCTTGAAACTGAAGCAAATAATCCAAAGCAACACAAATCCCTCCAACAACTCCCATCATTCTTGCCAATTAGTCAGGCTTATGGGAGTTGTAGTCCAACAACATCTGGAGGGCACAAGGTTGGGGGAGGTTGATTTAAATGCACAAATGGGAGGCATCAAATAATAGAAACTGTCTAAGTGTGTGAAGTATGGTTTAATTGGGACATGGAGCAGAAGAGCAGAATTGAGACACACGTCAGAGAAGGAGATGGGGAGGGAGACCCAGATGGGAGAAGGCTTTTCCCTAAACCAGATGTGGGGGGATCTTTGGCCCTTCAGAAGTTGCTGAACTACAAGTACAAGCACAGTCAATGTCTAAGGATGATGGGATTCAGCACTGCTGGGGGACCCTCAGGGTCCCTTCCAATTCTACCATTCTACTTGGAGGGCTGAAGGTTTTTCACACCCTGCCCTAAATGAATGTGAAAACCAAGATGGTCCCTCCCTCAGTGGAGCAACTAGGTAGACTTCATGGTCTTACAGGGATCACTTAAATCATAGCACCATCACAAGAAAAATTGACTTTGCCTCTTCCATCCTGATGCTAATCACGTTAATGTATTAATCAGTTATATTTTGTACTAGAAAAGGATAACATATATTTTAAAATAAAAATCATAAAAATGGGGGGGGAGGAGGTTCAAAGGTGAGTGTTTTGGCCTTTAAAAAAATACTTTGCACACTCAGAGGCACACTTGCTTCTGGGAACCCCACCTTCTTTGCTTGTGGGCTTCCCAGAAGTGAGTGTAATAGGCATGCTGTTTGTCTCCATCACCTGATATTCAGAGGTACACTGCACTTAAACACAGAGGTTCTATCACCCCTGTCAGAGCTGCTTCAAGATCCTAGCTCACAGAGGATCACGCTAGCCAGCGATCATTAAATAAAAGTCTTTATTGAGTTACAGTTTCCATTCTCAAGCTGCTGCGTGCAACTCTACGTCTTATGGCTAGACCGGCGAAGCTCCGTCTGAATCTCCGCCCCCTGTACACCAACTTAATACCCTAGCTTTACTCCACCTTTTCCGCCTGACTGTTCTTCTCTGGGTCCCTCTGCCCCCCGGGGTCTCTTCCTTCCGGGATTCTTCTGACGCTGACCCCCCGGACCCTTCTGTCTCCTTGCGCCGGGCTTTAGGACCTGGCTCCCTTTCCGGGCTGCTCACTGCGCCACCTTCCTGTGCATTTGAACTTGGCGCGCGCGCCCAACCTTCCACTTTCCGTCTGACCGTTTCTTCGCTCCCCGATGGAGGTGTGGCCACTCCTGACTCGTGCCCTCCCTCCTGTTGTGAGCTTCCAGCGCTTGATACCTGGCGCCCTTCCTCTCCCCTGCTCTCTGTGGGTGACGCTGGTCCCGGTTTCCACTGCTCCCCTCTGAGCCCCCTCTGGCCCTTTCCTTCCTGGGTGTCCCCCTAGGCTCCCCCCTTGCCCTGGCCACTGGTGCTCCTTTCGTGAATCTTCTGATTCACTGGAAAGACTCGGAGATCTCGGGTCGTCGTCATCACTCTAACCCTCCCCCCGCTCTCTGTTCCTCCCTCCCTTCCCTGCTCCTGAACCCCTGACAACCCCATTAATCTGACTAATTCTTTTATCAAGTAATCTAGGTATATTGTCAACAACATAGCTGTGGATGCAAATTTAGAAAGGTTAAATATGAATTTCATGATATGTACTCTTTTTTTTTGGTCTGTCCTGCATCTTCCTGCTAATCAGTTTCTTTGGCCTGAAAACGTGATTCTGGGTCTATCCAACGTACCTTCCCGCCACAGACAAACTGTCCTTTAAGGCCAGGGCAAATGTTTCTCTTTTGAATATGTGATTCCTCTTTGCTTACTTTGACAGATGAATCAACACCGTCACAACCTGCCTGTTTCTACCCATCTATCTTCAATCCACTATGTTTCCGTGGATTGAACTAATCCGTTTTCTTTCCTGTTTCAGTTTCAGCTAATTGAAGTGCTATGAAATTATGGCTTTTAAAATGCTAATATGTATTGATTCCAATTACCGGCTGCCCTTAGTCTCTGCCTGTTCTGTCAATGTCTAATGATCTTCTGCATTTCTCCTTCATTCAGCTTATCTTGGAATCCTGCCTTCCTTAGACTTGTCCATAGACCTTCATCAGAAATACTGAGACTACAACTCTTTTAAGCCTCTCCAAGAGGCAGAACATTGCTGCTAACCATATTGGCCACTGGAATGCACCATCGCTCCAAACAAAAGCAGCAGGCAGCAACAGAAATGGCTGAGGCTATGTATGCATTAGCTGCTTTAAATACAGCAAGGTCGCTTTTCCGTGCTGCGTTTGAAGTCACATTTGCATGTTGCTGTACACACCAGAAAGGGGCACATCATAAAAAAGAAAGAAAAAGAAAGGGGCACATCACCTGCTCGGTTCCTCCACGCTTGCAACCCCTCCTCCAAACTGTCATGAAGATGTCATCTGTGCATGCACATAGGCAACAGCTGTCTCAAATGGAGTTTACCTGCGACTTGCGTTTTCTAACTGGATGGAAGCCGGTTTGAGGAAAAACACATCAAACAGCATTATTTATCAAGAAACTGCAGAATAGATATGAATTGTAGCTCACACCATGTCTATAAAGGATCAAGTGCCCATGGTGGGAGCGCAATGGAGCCAGAGTAAATGGTGTGTACACAACCTAAGACTCAGGACTCATGCACACTTCTGTTTTCCCCACCACTTTCCCCAAGGAAAACCCGTGGTTTAGCACTGAATTGACACAAACGGCAGCTGGGTTTCCTACTGATTGCCGTTCATTCCAGTTCAGTGCAAAAAGCAAATTTTCTGGGGGAAAGGGGCAAGGCAAAGGCAAAACCACTCAGACGCAGGCCAAGAAAGCATGGGAGAAGTGGGTGTGTGGACAAGCCCTCAGTCATGTAGAATTGTCTTGCCTAAAGGCAACTCAGAGAACTAGTTTATAGAATCAGCCGATCAAGAAGGCAGGCTTCTTTTCTGGACTGCACCACACTCAGCTCTCCCATCAGGGATGGCTCAATACATGTTAGCACCTGAGGTGAAGCGTAGAATGCTCCCGGCCCCTGCCATGGAAGAAAGGGTGAGTGAAGATGGGAAACAAGGGGGGAATAAAGCTCCACATTGAGAACATGGCGAGGAATCAAAGGTCATCGTGGGCCGGATCTGAATCCTCCTGCCTGGGTGCAGAGCCCAGGAGACCCCAGAAGGCATTCCCTGCCTTTTCCTCCCTGGGCTGGGGGACCAGCAGGGCCTCCGATCTGCAGAGAGCTTGCTGTAGAGACGGCATTAACTGCCGAGGAAGCAGCAGATCTGGCCTCCAAGGAGAGTGCCACATCCATTGCTCCCGCTGTGTGTGCATCTCACTGAGTGAAATTAAGCTCAACTTTCTCCCCAGCAAGCAAGTTTTCTACCAACAAGGTTTTGATGTGGGGGTACATTTAACAGCCTCTCCTGAAGCAGTACTGTCCAAAAAAATTGGATTCTACTGGTTGTATAAATTATTCCAGAGTACAAAAGGCGAGTGGTCCAGCCTATTTAGTGTAGCAGGTATTCTAAATGAGGCACGTTGAAGCAATCCCTCAGTCGTTTCTACTAAGGGGTGCTTCAATAGGTGATATTATATTGTAATGGGTTTTACTATCACATTTATGTGAATAGAGCTATCAGTGTGGGCTACTTTAGGCCAAAACCTGGCCAGATTCTGGCACTTAACAAATAACAGCCTGGGATATTTACATGATGTGTTTCCAAGGAAGCTAATCATTAGATGATTGCTTTCATAGCCGGATCTTCACTGTATCTTCTGAATATGGCAAAACCAGACCTTTCCTGTTCCCTAGTTAAATACAGTCATACCTCGGGTTGAAGTTGCTTCAGGTTGAGCGCTTTCAGGTTGCGCTCCACGGCGACCCAGAAGTAACGGAATGCGTTACTTCAGGGTTTTGCCGCTTGCGCATGCGCAGACGGTCAAAATGATGTCACGCGCATACGCAGAAGCGGCGACCCGCGCACGCGCAGATGCGGGTTGCATTCGATTCTGGATGCGAACGGGGTTCTGGAACGGATCCTGTTCATATCCAGAGGTACCACTGTATGCTGCAATCTTAAGGGTGTGTGACAGGAACAAAAGTGTTAGAATTCCTGCTCCGTGATTGCAGTCATGGGCTTTTTGTCTGTCACATGACGGTGTATGTTTTGACTCCAAAAAAGTGGGAAGTGACGGAGACAGGATGTTTGTGTTACTGTGTTCTGTGAAGTGGGACTATTGTCCTTTGTTCTTTCTCTTTGCTGTCTGATGCTAGAGAGAGGGAGCCATGTTGCAGTGCTCCGTGTGTGTTTATATTTAAATAAAGTAGATTAGCCAAAATGCTGAGTTCCTGAGGTCTGTCACACAAGCTGTGAAGACTCTGCGGATCCCTAAGTGTGCTGGTGTCTGTTGGCATCGGTCGCTGTGATGTTCAGGCAGAAGTAAGTTTTTGAAGCTCCCGGACGAAAGACCAGGAGGGAGAGAACATGCCAGTCGGGCATGTGTCTCTGCCAGGGTCCTACTCGAGGGTAGGCTGAGCTCCTGACAAAAAGTACAGTTTTGGAGAGAGAAGATGGCTGGGGATACCTGTAATCTGAAGTGGAACAGTAGATTAAGCTGTCTTTTGGTTTGTTTAAGTTTATGCTCAACTTGCCTATTTGTCAATAAAGTCATAAGCCTCCAGTGACCCCTTTCCAAAGGAAACCAAACCCAAGTGAAAGTTGCAACCGTGGAACCACTTGAAGTTGGTTGCGCATAGCAATGCTGTCAGGAAGAAGCAATGCAAAAAGTGAGATGAGATGTGTAAAGCTGCACATGATTTTTGTGTCCTCTTCTGTCTTTGTCAGCAAACTATGTGTGATGGTCTCATTGTACAGGCTGGATCCCTGGTGTACAGCTTCCTTTTGGATGAAATGAGTGTATATCAAAACATGACTGAGGAATAGCCTGGCTCAAGAATGGTCTGGGAGAGAACAATTGTCTAAGCATTTTATTAGCAAAATAGCATCCAGGAGTGTGCTGGCAGAAGGTGATCTCATGGGAAAGAAGGGTATATCGTGCTTTGCTTTCTTTCTTAGAGCGAATGTAGTGCTGGAGAAGTATAAAAATGGAAGACTCCCTGGAGACTGAGCTATTTTATCTACAGCACAAAGATAGTGCAGGCAAGGTAATTGCAGCTGAACTGCCAGTGTCCCTCCTATGCTGTGGTTCAGCCTGGGAAGTTCGTATTCAAAGCCAGCTCATTCTCTCCTGTAGCTGAAAGAGCTGCCAGTGAACACAATAGTTTGTGCAATGAAAGTACCATCAAAAGATATTTCAGTTGGTGTGTTAAGTTAGTGGTGGCCTCCTTGTTTGGCTTTTGGTTTTACTAGAATTCTTCTGTGGTCTACTTGTATATTTTGAATTTGCAAAGCAAGAGTGAATAATCAGGATTTCTCAGAGCTAAAGACACAATTACAAAGTGCTAAGAGATCCTGAGCACAAGGAGTGCCTTCATCGATCCGACCAAGGTCTACTTAGTCCAACATTTTTTCAAGAACCTTGGTTCTAGGTGGCCCATAGTTGTTCTTTATGACACTGTATTTCGAACTGCCGGCTCAATGAGAGGTCCTAGTGAAGATCTATCCCTTTGCAGGCCCACAAATCTCAGCCTGGCCCTGGATGTGAACCCAGAGCAGCCTTCCACTTGCCTTGAACAGTGCCTAGTACACCTTCACTACCCCAATGCACACTTTCAGTTCAAGACGCGGGGGGCTAATCTGTGTCCCTCCAGATATTGTTGAACTGTAGCTCCTGGTTTATGGTATTCAGCAGCAGCTAGATTTAGGTGAGAGCCATTTTCAGGAAGGAATGGAGAATGGGGAGTCACAGCCCCACCTATGCCCCGAGTGGATGGCAAACCCTGTTGCTGCAGTTACCACTCCCTCAATGCTCCTCTCTTGCTGCTACCTGACTGTGTCTGGTTTGGTCCAGCTTTCTCAAGCTGCTGGTTTATGGTTTATTATGAACATCAATCATTTCAAAAAGACAGGCTCTTCAGTGGGTTTTTGCAATTACAGTTGTGTGGCTAATATCTAACTCCCATGGTCCCAAACAAAGCTAATATTTTGGCTTGATAAATAGTTCCTGTCCACATTTGCATTCTTGCATAAATAGCACAAGTTACTTCTCAACAGGGTGAACAGCACTTTGCTGGTGATAAATGAAGAAACTGCTCTAAATCAACAAGCCGACTGAATGGCATCACAAAGCAGAGTTGGCAGCAAAGATAATGCTACAGTCATAACCTACTGTTCATTTTCATTCATGCTTGTTTCTCCTTCCACTGGGGAAGTCTCAGGAAACGGTATGTTTGCCATCAAACAGCCATTCCCAGTTGGATATTTGATAATTGGTACTTGTGGTTTAGGCAAACCACAAGTTTTGGATGCCATCCAGCTGCTGAGCACATCAAAGTGTAGCTAAGCATTTCCCACTGCCCTATCTACAGCAACCTGGTGCCTTCCAGATGTTTTCGACTGCAACTTGCATCATTCCTGATCAGTGGCTATGCTAGATGGGGCTGGTGGGAGCTGTCATCCAAAACATCTGGGAGCACCAGGTTGGAGAAGACTGGTTTATGGCACCTTCCACAGACTAAAACAAGTCCATTTCCTGTCTACCATGGAATGCTACCTATATCCCTCTTGAAGATTTCCAGCATACATCCAGACCTTTTGTCAACCGCTGTCCATTCTATTCCCACAGGGGTTGTTGTTTTTTCTAGCCGGGTAGCTCTTGTTACACAATGAGTAGTTGTCTGTTTAGTGCAATGGAATGGGACTACCACCTCTCTCTCTGGCAGGGTGGAGTATGCAGTTCCAACAGGCAGAAATTCAACAAATAAAGCTTTCCCCATCCCTGCATATCCCTGCAGGGAAATCTGCAGCTACTGAATTTCTGTCAGATGTGCAGCACTTAGGGCACAAAACCTGCCAGAAACAAAAGGTGACAACCTTAGCGAAAGGCATAATTTACTCATAAGTGTGCGAGATTTGCAGCTCTGCCCTTTCTTTAACAACCACCCACAATTCTTGGTATGTATACTTGTGTTTGGCACCAGTTCCTAGGCATGTGGAGGGAAATTCAATGAGCTTGCTTTGCTGAGACCAGCAGATTATTTTTGGCTGGTCACAAAGCCAATTTGTTGTGATTGCAGTTCCTATTAACAGCCTGGACTGCTCAAGTGTATATCAATCAGACCATCAATTACCAGCTTGCTTTCACTGACTCCTAGGTTCTGTTAGTCTTTTCATCTGTTTGTCAGTTTTTCTGTTCAGCATTCATCGCTGCAATGAGGATAGTAAAAAAAACAGTCTACAGAACAGTGTTTAAACTCAATAAGCAGCACTTAAAGTAATTTTGGTTTCCAACTACACCTTGGAATTTGACAGAATGCATATCAAGACAGCATAAACCTTAACCTAACTCTTGGGGTTAAATTTCTGTGTCTATCAAAACACCGTCTGTGCTGGAAGTGACTAGATTTGTTTACATTGCATGGCAAGATAAATGCTGTGACTCTTAAAATGATTGGTCGCTGTAGCATTATAGCAAGGCCTATATAGCTCACAGCTGGTCACATTTGGATGATTGCAGCATTTATGATGATCTGCACATATGAATGGGCTGTCATAGATATTACATCACAGACAGAACTTTTGTATGGCCTCATCTTGCCCATATCAAGTGACATGCATGCATAGGGAAATCAGGCCATAATGTTTGGGTATGTGGCAATGCAGCAAGAAATGTAATTGATCAGTACTTTAAGTTTAAATGGTGATGGTTTTTATTAAAAACATGTACCAGTACCTTTCCACCTAGAAATGGAGTGCTTCATTTATTGTTGCAAGGTGACAGACATAGAATTGAGTGGGGTTTCTAGTCTGCTTTGGGGCTCACATATTAAGCACATATTTCAGCATGAACTATAGGAAACCTCATCCACATTACAAGAAGTTATAATATAATTCTGTCTTGTTTATTTAAGTGAAGTTAAAAGAACTTAATTCTAATTTCCATAGGTGAAGAGTGTTCTAGAAGCATGTAGTGTTTTATTGTAGCATCTATTTATTTAGAAAAAAATACATGCAGAACAGGAGAGAAACATGTACCCACACATGAAGCAAAGAGGAGGAAAAGACTGTGGCTTCCAAGAGCAGAGAAGTTCTGGAAGACGATCTGTGCCTGATATGTGCCCCACCCCTTTCTTTTCTGAATAACTCCTGGTTGGGCACTCAGAGGCAGCACCCAGGGATGCTCCTTGCCCTGTGCCACGCATCACTCCTGGTCATGCTTGAGCCACATTCCTCAGTAGTATGACACTGATAAAATGTGCCCATTTTAATTAATGTTGGATGCTATGTTTCATCTCTTGCATGATGATGAGTTGAAGCAAAGCTTTGAGCATGATGGAATTTCACTTGCAAATCTGTTCTCAAAAGATGTTTCCCCTCTTGAAATGAAGCCTGATTGACAACAGCAAAAGAACTCAAGCCACTGAACTATTACATCTTGGATATGAGGGGGGCTTGTTTGTTTTTGTGGGAGGGGGGGAGTTGGTGGGGGGGGTTCCTCAATGAAATAAATGTTCTCAGTATGTAAATGCACAGGAGGGGAGGCAATGTTCTTATGCTTATTTACAGCAAATTTGACAGGCAGAAAACATTGACCGGGCAAAAATAATAATTAGCCATTTTCCTTCATAGTTAAGTCAAAAGCTGATAGTTATGAAGGTTGCACAAAATGCTTGACTTTAGATGTCCCCCACTTCTCCACCAGTGGTTACACATAAGAAATGGTTTCTTAACGATGTCTGGTTTCATTAGAACGGTGGCTAAAAACATTGTTTTAATTGACACGTAGCACATCCTAGGAAAATAACAGAGAAAACTCCCTAACCAGTCAATTACCATATAAATAGGAATGCATAGATCATCCCTCGTATCAGCATCTTGCTTTTTGGTTGATGAAAATATGTTAATGGGCAAATGCAGCTTTTCATTTGAATAATGACTTAATGCTTCTGTGAATTTCAGATTGTGGATTAAGCCCTTTCTGTGAAAAGTTTTAATATTTTTCCTATAGTTCACCAGCTGCCTTTGCTCAAGGAGGAAAAAAAGCCCCTGCATTTGGGGATCTTCAAACAACAACACGTGCCAGGATGCTGGTGTGTGTGTGTGTGTGTGTGTGTGTGTACGCCTGCCTATGAGCCCATGCAGAAGTCTATTTAGGGAAAGGAAAAATATGAGCATTCTGTGTTTATCTTTTCTTTCAGAAAGGATACTTACTGTTTGATGGGCCAGCAGGAAAGATGAACAGCATTGCATTTGACGGCTGCAATCAGTTTCTTTTATCACTCCTTGCAGGCCTTCTTGGATCCTCGCCATTTCCCCCACCAGCTGGACAGGAACCTTTGCTCATTTACATGACGTGCTTAAGATTTTATATGATCACAGAGAGGAGAAAGACCAGTTTCTCTCTGTAGCTTAACTGTGTGCAAAGAATGAGATACGAGGCAAAGTTAATTAAACATCATTGGTATTTTCATGCACAAGTCCCATGAAATGAGCCCAGCAGTGACCCAAAGAGCAATGAACTGTTGTCACTTGCTGGCCTGGCCACATCATGAGATAAGTTGAAGGTCCTGCCTTAGTCAGCACAATGATTTTTTATTTTATTTTTTGCAGCGGGCAGGGGTTGGCTTTGGGCTACATTGATTGTTGATGGGTTACTGTCTTGTTATTGCTTACCCTATTCTTCCCCATAAAACCTATTTTGAGAACACAACATAGATTTATCTTCTCATGTGTGCTCATCTGAGGGAATTAAAGCAAATGAAGCTGCAAAGTTTTAAAGGAACTCAGAATTCTCCTCAGGGTATGCAATAGGTAAGAGGGTCTGGGGGGGGGGGATAAGCTTGTGACAAAAGAAAGAGACATCACACTCTGGGCATAATTGGGCTGCTTTTCCTTTTTAAAGTTTAGCTACTGCAGAATTTTCTTCTTGAGTAAATCTAGTAAAATGTAACTTCATAAACATTTCTGTTTATGAAGCAAAAAGGCAGCACTCAGTCAATAGAAATGAAAAGAAGCCTTTTCACAAGCACATTTTTATTTATGTATTTATTTATATATTTTATATTGCACCTTCTCTCTAAGGAGCTCTAAGTGGCCTCCCCATTTTATCCTCACAACATCCATCCCAGTGAGGCACATTCAGCTGAGAGGTGTCAACTCATCGAAGGTCACATATGGCTGAGTTTTTAGTGCTTCATGAACCTGCACTTGTTTCTGCCTTAATGTATTTGTTGCGTTAAACTTCACTGTGATATTATGAAGATATAAAATGGTATTAAATAAATAAACTAAAGGATGAATGTGACAAAAATGTGGCTTCGCTGCGCCTTGCTATCCAATGTACACTCATGGGCAGAGTCCAACAAGCACTTTATCACTTGGTGGTGCTAGTGGGCATGGGTGGAGACGATTTGCTTGAATTCTCCTTCATGGGCCTCAGCACCCCGGCTTTGCCTGCCTGGAGAGCTGGCTGTGACAAAGCATAAGAATCACCATATGTTTAAGTGTTTTGTTATCATGCACGCAGCTAGGGGATTTTTTCAAAATGATGGATTATAAAAGGCAAATTCTTACCCCTGTGCATTTCATACACCCTTTTGCTAGACTTTTCTCAGCTGAAAAAAACCCACACACAGCAGAATAAGTTCTAAAAAATGTCACAGCTTATTTGATTTATTCTGTTTCAAGACACCTCTGGGGGTAAAACTCCCTCTCTGGAGAGTCGTACTTTCCCTCTTTGCCACCCCTAACAAAGTAAATTACACTCTACAATTCTTACAGGCCCCAAGGCTGAAACTTTGCTCAAAGCCTGGTTCTTTGATGCTGTGAACGAATAGGTTGGGAAGCTGGCATGCATGTGGCTGTGCAGAGGCCATTTTTCTTTCAGCAAAACATGTTAGGGGGTCAGCTGGTGCACCTGTGATAAACTTCATTCTGATATTAAGAACATGCTAATCATACATAAGGCAAAGGTAAAGGGACCCCTGACCATTATGTCCAGTCGTGACCGACTCTGAGGTTGTGGCGCTCATCTCGCTCTATGGGCCGAGGGAGCTGCCGTTTGTCCGCAGACAGCTTCCAGGTCATGTGGCCAACATGACTAAGCTGCTTCTGGCGAACCAGAGCTGCGCACGGAAACACCGTTTACCTTCCCACCGGAGCAGTACCTATTTATCTACTTGCACTTTGATGTGCTTTCGAACTGCTAGGTTGGCAGGAGCAGGGACCGAGCAATGGGAGCTCACCCCGTCGCAGGGATTCGAACCGCCAACCTTCTGATCAGCAAGTCCTAGGCTCTGTGGTTTAACCCACAGCGCCACCCGTGTCCTTAGTAGTGCCCCCTTAATCCTAGTTCATCAGACCCATCTCCAAAGTATCCTGTAACAGCTCCCCCCCCCCCCTGGCAAACACAACTGTTGATACCGGAAAAAGAAACTGACCCTTTTAGAAAAGGCATCACAGTGAACTGCGGGGGCTGAGTACCTAACAACCTGGAACCAAAACTGTCCCACCTAAAAACAAGGCAGCATTTCCTACACAATATTCCAGGCATAGGGAAACTCGGCCCTCCAGATGTTTTGGGACTACAACTCCCATCATCCCTAGCTAACAGGACCAGTGGTCAGGGATGATGGGAGTTGTAGTCTCAAAAAACATATGGCGAGTCAGAATTATAGTAACTTGTAAATTCTGTTGCCCCCAGTGGAGCCTGGCCACGGCCAAGGAGCACACAGGACATGAAGGGTATCGAGGGGGGAAGAGCCCCTAGCAGCTTCTAGCAAGTATCCTGCAAAGATGCGCCTGGTCAGGGAGTGTAAAAAGGTTAAAGACTTCTGGGAAATGATATGCAATGAATTGAAAAAGATGTTGAAATATACGTTCATTAAAAAACCAGAAGCCTTTCTATTAGGAATGGTAGGAAACGAAATCAATAAGAGAGACTGTAAACTGTTTCAATATGCAGTGACTGCCGCAAGGTTACTTCTGGCCCAAAGATGGAAACAGGAAGAAATTCCATCAGTGGAAGAATGGAGAAGGAAATTGACCGAATATGCAGAATTGGACAAATTAACTGGGAAGATTCGATACCAGAAAGACCAAAAGTTTATCGAGGACTGGGGGAAATTTACAGAATATCTGAAAAATATATGTGATGCACAGACAACGCTTGTTGGTTTTGAAGAGACTCTATGAAATAGTAAGAAATACTGCAAAAAAGAGAGTAAGAGGAAAAGTAGTGGGGAAAGGCAATATCATGTTTAGAAATGTGTCAATAAATAGAAATTTTTCGAAAGATTGACAGAGAAACTGAGGGAAGTCAAAAATTGAAGCATGAGTGTAAAATAATTTGTTGACTGTATAAAACTTGTTTGGAAAATGAATAAAAATTATTTTTTTTAAAAAAAAAGATGCGCCTGGCCGTGAGTCCCGTGCCGTCTCCCCAGGGCACGGCCCGGGTTTTGGGGCGAGGGCCCCTCCGAGGCTCCCCGTGAGGAGTCGGGTCCTCCCTGAGGGGCGAAGAAGAGCCCCCTTCCTTTCGGCGCTGCTCCTCTGGGGCTCCTCCCCAGAAGGGCCTTTCCCGGGCCGGGGGCGGCGAGGCTGCTTCCTCCCGCCCGAGGGACGAGGTCCGTCCCAGCCGGTTCCTGCAGCCCGGGAGGCCGGCCAGGCCCAGAGGCGGAAGGAGCGGCGCCAGAGGAAGGCGCGCCTCGCCCGGGACGGGGAGCCCAGACGCCAGGTGAGCAGGGAGGGTCGCCTCTGCCGCGCGCCCCCAAAGCGGGGAGACGAGGGAGGGACGGCGGCCGCGCGCCCCGCTCTCCTCCGCCTCCTCCTCAGGTGGGCGAGCGCAGCCTCCCCCGCGGCCGCCCTGCCAAGTCCCCGGGGCAGGAATGGAGGCCGGGGAGGAAGGCCCACCGAGGGCACGGGGCTTACTCCTCTGTAGGCCTCCGTAGGCTTCGGGACCTGAACTGGGTTTCCTCACCGAGAGGCGGTGGTGGTTGTTTGCGGGGGTCGCCGCCTTTGCCACCCGCGTCTTGGGAGCAGCAGCGCTGCAATTTGGAAGGACTCTGTTCGGTTTGGGTTGAGCCCGTCCTCCAGTAATCTTGGGAAGGCTTTTCCTGAACCCGGGATGCGCCCTGGGAATTGCTGCGCGCACGAGCGAGGGGAATCAACTCCGCTCTTCCTTGGGGACTTCCCTATAGAACCACAGAATCGTGGAATTGGAACCCACTACTAGTCCAACCCACTTCAAGGCAGGAATCTCAGCTAGATCATCCATGAGAGATGGCCATTGCACCTCCAAGGAGGCTGACTGCTTAGAGTAGATCCATTGAAATAAAGTAAGAGTTATGACTAACTTAAACCCAGTTGATGTCCGTGTGTCTCTTCTCAAGTCTGGGTCCAGCCCAGAACTGAACCAGGGCTGCTACAGACTGCTCTCCGTTCCTTCTGGCAAACACAGCTGACCCTCTGGAATCTCCTTCCGGATAACCTGAGCTTCAAGTGGGAGAAAGTCACACTAAAGTCAACAGGTCTTACGGCTTAGTTAACTTTTATATAACTAGCCCATGAGGCTGTCATCCTGTAGGCCTCTGCTTCAGAATAAGCCCTGTTGATCTTACTTGGGAGTTATTTCAGAGTAAGCAGCCCTCAAGGTACTCAGAAGCAAGTTGCATCAAAGTTAATGGCACTTAACTTCCAGGTAACTACTAATCAAATTTATTCTTTGGTTGTGGTAAACTGCAGAGTGGTGTTTCCCTCAGTGTCTGAATTTGTCTGTAATGCAAGTTTACTTAGAAGCAAGTCCCACTGAGTTCAATATGACTTACTACCAAATTTACTTGCAAATAAGTCCCATTGAGGGACGTGGGTGGCGCTGTGGATAAAAGCCTCAGCACCTAGGGCTTGCCGATCGAAAGGTCGGCGGTTCGAATCCCCGCGGCGGGGTGCGCTCCCGTTGCTCAGTCCCAGCGCCTGCCAACCTAGCAGTTCGAAAGCACTCCCGGGTTCAAGTAGATAAATAGGGACCGCTTACCAGCGGGAAGGTAAACGGCGTTTCCGTGTGCTGTGCTGGCTCGCCAGATGCAGCTTTGTCACGCTGGCCACGTGACCCGGAAGTGTCTCCGGACAGCGCTGGCCCCTGGCCTCTTAAGTGAGATGGGCGCACAACCCTAGAGTCTGTCAAGACTGGCCCGTACGGGCAGGGGTACCTTTACCTTAAGTCCCATTGACCTGCAAGATTTCTGTCTAAATATGTTCAGTTTGTTCTGTAAGGTTGTAAACCTATACATACTTACTTGGAAGTTGGATCCTTTGATAATCAGATTCGTGTCCATTTTAGAGGGCCTGGATGGAAAGGAGGACAGGGCTTCCTATACACTTACTGGTGGTGTGAATGAGAAAAATTCAACAGAGGTGGTGTTTGTCAGACCTCCATGATGATGCATGACTGCTGAAATTCTTATCTGTGCAAAAGACCCATCATTCTTGCCCAAACCACTCTGATTATTACCACCAGAGGCGGATTTAGGGGAGTGAGACCCGATTGCCCACACTGGGCGCCAAGCTTAGAGGGTGCCGCAGGTAACCTCAACAGTGGTGAGTAATTGAAGGCAAAAGGTAGGGCAAGTGCCAAATTTTGGCATTGCACAGGGCACTGCTGAAATTTTAAAGCCCCAAGTCCACCACTGTTACTACCTCAGTGTTTGCTGTGTACCAGTTCAGTACATTGAAAGGCTTCTAGTTCCTCTGATGTCACGATTTCCTTACCACACAAGAAACATATGTCCCAAGAGGCCAGGTGCTGTTTGTGTGATATGGTAAACAAAACACATGAGGAATCACATGCAGTGTGAACTCGTATTTGGAGTTGCTTGGGAGAACCATGTAGGTGGTGATACTAACTGGAGAGCCTGTCAAGGAGGGTTCTAGGCAGGCAAAAAGGGGTTGAGAATAAGAGGAAGAAGGACACTTGGAAAGGTAAGACTTTGTCCTCCTGCAACAACCTCAAGGCCTATAAACACTGAACAGCCTACTCAGTTCAGCTTTAGGTGAGATATAGCTGAATAGAGCATAGTACCTGCTTCTCCCCCCAGGAAAAGCAGCAGCTCAAGGGGGTGCTTTTACTGTGCTATAGGTAAAGAAGGTTAAACCCTTCCTTCTTGCCTGCCATGGTCCCAGTCTGGGTTATCCCCGGGCTATTGTTTTCAAAGTAAAAACAAGACAGCTGAGTGCATACACATATTTATCATTTAGCTTGGCACTGAGAAAATAATTATATGTTACCTGAGCAAATACAACAACAACAACAATCTTTATTACGGTCCAGAGACCCAACAAATCGTTACAAAGCAATACACAATTCATACAGCTTACCTCCAGGTTAAACAAGCATTTTGTTCAGAATATAGGGATCATTGGCTCTTGCAACCACCAATAAAAACTTTGCCGCTGCTAATGTTCTAGCATTTGTCGGGTCTTCCAATAGGTACCTGACATAGTGAGCCTCTGATTTTCCCGGGAAAGGTACCAGCAAGGGTATTATCAGTTCAGCCCTGGCTTGCTCATATTTTGCACAGTGCAACAAAATATGTTTTATGGAATCGATGTCTTGAGCACACGAGCAAAGTCTGTCCTGGTAGGGAACTCCTCTCAACCTGCCATCCAACACTGCAGAAGGAAAGACGTTTAGTCTGGCCTTGGTGAAAAGCCTTCGATAGTTTGGTACTGTCAGGTTTTAAAGATGTTAACTTAAAGACATGCCCATATTGTACTCCTACTGCCAGCGGACTACAGACTGCGTGTGATTGAGATTGCAAGTCACTGTGTGCATTATCCCATAATCTTTGCTATAACATCTTTTGGGCACCTTCATAACCCAGCTAATACAGTTGGGGGGGGGTGATGGACCAATAGAGGTGGCTTTTTTAGCCATGGTTTTCTGCCATTTGCTGACAAATTCCTCATTGGTCAGGTGTTGGTACAAACCCTTCCCTAGATCAAACACTTAAATCCTGAGCTGGTGTTTTAGGGCAGACCACCACGCTTTAGTTGAAATTGGGCATTCACCAGCTTCTAACAGAAGTATGGAGTTGGGGTGGAGTTGGGGACACAGTTGGGTACCTGCAGCAGAGATCGTAGAAATTTTGCCTGAAAGCCATCTAGCTTTGGCAGGTCCCCATTATGCCAGACATTTGCAGCGTACAGGAGTTGGGAAACAGGTTTTGCACTGAAAACCCTTAAGGCTGCTGGAACGTATTTGCTGCCCTTTGTGAAAAAGAATCTGAGTATGGCTAGCTTTGTGATCTCCGTCTTTTGAAGGGAGGTTTGCCAGTGGTGCTTCCAAGATCCTGTATGATGGAGTGTGAGCCCTAGATAACTGAAGTATTTGATCCATTCAAGGTTATGGCCATCCAGCACCCATTTAGACGGGGAGAAGCTTCTTTCGAAAACTAAAATTTTAGATTTTTCATAATTAATGGAGCAAATAAGGTATTCTCAAACCTTCATCTCCTGTACTGTGTAAGATGAAGGAGAGGGAAGGAGTGACAGTGGGAGGTGTGTGCACATCAGACAACTGCAAGGGTGGGGTGGGTATTTGCATAGGAAGTGGAAGGGGTGTGTGCAAGGGATGTGCTTAACCTCTAACCGTGTATGCTGATTCCACAACACACACACACACACACACACACACACCACAGACCCCTCTCTACCTGTCCAGCAGGATTTCCTCCAAGGACTTGGAAAGAAAGCAGATTAAAAATGTCCTTGGGTAGCTGACACCCCAGAGGAGATTTGGAGAGCAAGTACCCTCCTGCTCTCTCCTCATGCTTATGAGCAAGCGGGAGACCCTTATTTTGTACCCTTTACTTCAGTTTTACTAAGAGAATGGCTCCACTGTGTTTGCGTTTTCTTCCCTGTTCTCTGCAACACAACAGCTTTACATGGTGCCTATGTGGTGCTGACAAACATTACCTGCTTTTTGCCTGAACAGCCGGTTGAAGTTTTATTGTGTTTGTTATCTCATTAAAACTAGATTCCTACACATACTTGAAGTCCTGTTAAGATCAGTACCAGTTTCTTCTTGGTTAGAGTTGGGTTGTGTGTTTCTGCTTCAGTTCACTTCTTCCATTTTGGTACTTAAATTTTCTATTTGCATAGCTTGGTGAAGGTCAGAGGAAACACTGTGACTTTGCACACTGGCTCTCCTTGGTTCCTTTCCTGAGCAGGCAAGCTGCATGAAGGTCTTTCCACAATTTCAGAATCATTTTACCATTTTAAACAGCACTTGATTGAAATAAAGGTAAGGGTCTTGATCTAGCTCTAGTCACACTATGTTGTGGGTAATTTGTAGCCCTGGACCAAAGTGCCTGTTCCCACCCACATGTAATCCATCTCATAGGGTGCACTGGGAACTGGGTGAACCTCTCCATGTCCTTGTTGATGTGGGAATCTGCATCGTTTCAATGTGCCGATTGCCATTGTTGTCTCATTTGCTCTGTGTTTCTTTGCTGCTATTGTGTGCTATGCTTAAGAAACTCGAGCCTGTGTTATTTAATATATTAATATTCTTTATGAAGAGCTAATTTATTTGAGCTGAATGATTCCCTGTGGCTCATTCTTGCAGTTAAAAATATGTAGTTACTACACTCCAGACTGTTGTCCACTAGCTTGCCAGCTAAATTCAATTAAAGCTGCCATCTTAAAATATATTTCAGTCTAAGATCCAAAGCATTATAC